GTGATGGGCGTTAAAATCACCGAGTATCACGATCTCTGCGGATGGGACCTGTTGTAGCACGGAGTCTGCAGCCATTTGGACGTGGTCGATGAGTCGGTCTGTGTCGGCATTACGGCTATGGGACCTATAGAGGCACCCGTAGACGCGGGGATGGTCGTCGCTGTCTACGCGTAACCATAGGATGGACAGGTCCTTACCTTCAAGACTGCCGAGGTGTCGAAAACAGATGTCCTCTCTGACGTATACGCAAACTCCAGCCCGGGGTACAAAGGAGTGTTAAAATTTGTACCCCGGGTAAGAGAGATATGAAGTATCAGCCGGAGAGGACACCTGAGTCTCGGTTAAAAAGAGCAAGGCCGGCTTCACCGTCTCTAGATGGTAATGGACAGCGTTAAGGTTGGAATGAAGTCCCCTGATATTGCAAAAATTCACGGATAGCGTGAAAGGGGTCGCCTTGGTCTTATTGCTCAGCTTGCCCCGCGCAGTATTAGTCGCGAGCGGAATTTTGCCCCCAAAGAATACGCGGGGCAGCCTGAGCACCCACGCCCAGGAGTGGAGTGGTTTGGTCGTGGATGCTCAGCGAGGGATTTTCCAGGAGTGATAGTACCCTCCTGGGGTAGTCTTCTGTTCAATTCCATTACCATGTTGATGGGGGGGGGGGGGGGGGGATTAGGCCTCCGGCCACCTGCACTCACCAAGCGGAACGCAGAGGTAAACCTCTACTTCACGCTGGTATTCTGTGAGGTCGCGGTACCACCCCGGTTCGAGCCGGCCCATCCGTGCGACAGCAAAAGCTGCCGTGTGGCTCTACCACTGTTAAACCACTTACCATCAGGTGGACTGTGTACTCGTTTGTCACCCTATATATATAATAAAAAAAATAAGGCCACGGCGGAATGTGGACCTTTTACCCTTTAGTGAGATTCCTTCATCATGCTTGACAGGCGGATTGATGACCGCAGTACCAGACGCCTCGCATCTTTGATGCTTCTCGTTGCCAGTATTGGTATTTTATATCTAGCATAAAATAGATGTTTATACAATTTTTATACCCTACGACACCCACGGGAGGAAAATACGGTAATGAATTTTTTACATCGCCACCACATGGTTAACGGTTTTAAGAAAACCTTCAGTGATTTCTATATTATACGTTGTAAAGGGCAAACTCTTCCACATGGATCGCACTTGTAAGCAGGCAATCTTTCAAGGACAATGATTTCCTCTTGGTCTGTTCCTGACTACGGTGACAACTTTCGAATAATCCAAATCTATCAATTGCGAAAGCGATATGGTGCTAAATTTCTACGCACAATCACAAACATACTCATCACCCTAAGGGGGCGTTTATTAATTACGTGAGGTGTTTAGAGGGGAGAGGGAGTCGATTTGAATCTCACCCAATTTCACCTGGGGAAGAGGGACGGTCTCGGCAAATATCATGTAATTTTTTTTCGTTTCCGCAAGTAACAATGTAAAATTTCTAGAAAATTGAGTTAAATTAAGTACAATTTGCCGAAATCCTACACAATAATATTTATGGAGGTTATGTAAACTCCAGATCCAGAAATTATGTAAAAACAATTAAGGAAATAATGTTTTTTTTTTTTATAAAAACCCAACGGGTTTAAACGTGCTAAAAGATTAACGTATTTACACTAAACTACGCATTTTGAAAAAATTTCACGTGAGATTTGTGGAGGGGAGAGGGGGGGGGGGGGGCTGAGAGGGTCTTATCTCCCCCTTAACCTACCAGACCTGCCCGATGTAACGCTCACACAACACTTACAACACATCAGTTCAGGCAGATTTTTTGGGTTTGAAACCATAACCTGCCACGTAGAAGCCACATGCTTACATCATTAGGCTAAACGATAATCGATAAATAATAGACCGTTTACCAACAGTTCATTGTGGAGGATGGTCGACTCGGTATAAGTACTGTATTACAAGTTTTATTTACGTTATTGATTTAAGAGAGCAGAGCTTTATGTTCTGTTACTTCAACTAAAACATCATTATAAAATCTAATTATATAGATTTTATAATGATGTTTTAATTTTTTGCCTAACGCCCAATCAATTTTTCTCCTTTTATTTAAGTTAATGCTTAAAAACGTTTCAATCACAAAACTTGTTTCTATTTTTAATTTCTTCTTATTGTTCAATTCAACGGGTGGTATTAGACCTCTTCCAATATAATTTTCAATTTTAATTGACTTTAAAACTATTGAAGTTGTACACAAGAGGCACCAGACAAGATAAGGAAAACATATGACAGAGCATGTACAAAATAATCCGTAAAAATTCAACAGCAAAAGAAGACATACTACTAAAATCTTCTGCGGAAACTAATTCCAGAGCAATCTGCCAGACTCTTAGTAAACACCTTCTACCCAACAAACGATAATTCAACTGACGATAGAAATCACATAAAAATAAAGGAAAAAAGCAACAAACATAAGAGAACATCTTAACGACAGTACAACACATATCCACGCTGTACCGTTTACTGCTACAGAAGTCGAAACTGTTTTCAAGAACATGAGTCCCAAAACATCACCTGGAGGGGACGGATTCACTGCCGATATTTGTTATAAATCCTATTTAGCAGAAACCCTACTTAAGATATTTAACAAATGTTTATCTCTAGAATATTTCCCACAAGCATGGAAAAACGATGTTATTCCTAAACCGAATAAGGAGAATTATACTATCACGAAAGTGTACCGCCCAATAGGCCTATTACCTTTACTGGGAAAGGTCCTAGAGAAGTTATTTATCACCAGACTGACATGGCAGCTCGGACATGAAAATAAACTAAGCGGTCAGCAATACAGCTTCATCCCTCAGAGAGGAACTGAGGATGCATTATATAACGCCCTGGAGATGGTGAAGGAGTGCGTGAGAAACAAAGAAATAATATTTATTGTTTCATTGGACATTGAAGGGGCATTTGACAATACGTGGTGGTCTGCTGTGATCACATAATTACAAAAGAGAGTCATGGATTCAGCGGTCTCGGAAAGGTCAATAACGCTTACATATGCCAACACAGAGGTCAGCAAAAACACAAATAAGGGCTGTATACAGGGTTCTATTTGCAGACCCTAATGTGAAATGCCCTACTAGATTCCTTACACAAGAAACCGAAAAATGGAACGAGCATGTGCAAGCGTATGCCAAACAAATAGAGGAGAAAATTAACCTGGCTCTAGAACACATCTTAAACTGGGGGAAATCAAAAAAACACACGCCATGCTTATCACTAACTTACCAAGTATGAGATATCGATTATAAAGCTAAATAACATCAAATTACTTTTACTATAGACCTAAAAATCCTCGGATTAATTGTGGATAGGAGACTGAACTTTGTCAAACATGTAGATGACACAACTAAAAGAGCTATAGCACTATATATAAAGTCTCCAGAACAGCGAGAGCTCAATGGGGATTAAACTTATGTAGCAAATAATGTATAATTTGAATGTTTAGCATGATCTGTAAAGCACACCGTACATCCTCATTGATCCCCAGCGCGGCTTTAGCATGAATTATACCTTTAGATTTAAGAGCACAAGAACAAAAAGAGCTATATCTAATAAAAAGAGGTAAACCACTCATCCATTTACCTGGCAGAATGTTAGCAAAACCTGTAAGTCCTTTTACACTTCCGCATCCGCGTCCAAGTATCATATGATCTTATATGGACCCAAGAAGACGTTAGAATGATAAAAAAAACAACTGGCCTACAATATACAGACGGTAATAAGATTTTGGGTAAGGTTGGTGCGGTGCTGCAGTAAACTGCGGGAAAGAAGGAAAAGAAGTCTATAAAACAAAGCTAAAATTAAGCAATTACTGCAGTGTTTATCAGGCAGAACTTGTTGCCATCTTCAAAGCACTGACGTTTATAAGAATCAACCGTGAATTTAAGAAAGCGAACATACTAATTGACTCTCGGTCGGCTCTAGAATGCCTCTCTAATCCAAACAACGTCCATCCCTTAGCAGCTGAAATATTGACCAAAATCAATGAAGTTCGAAACAATCAGTGAGATGTAAAACTGTTTTGAATTAAGGACCATTGCGGCATTTCGGGAAATGAAAGAGCAGATGAATTGGCTAAGTCAGGAGCAGAAACATCCAAACAAGCACTAGTCTATGACTGCTTCCCGCTGTCCTATGCAAAGCGCCAATTCAGGGACAACACTATAAACATATGGCAAGAACGATATAGCAAGGCTGAAACAGAGGCCGTGACAAGATGGTTCTTCCCGGATGTTACAGAAACATATAAAACAATTAGTAAAATTAATATAAATAATCTAATTTCTCAAATACTGACAGGACATGGAGGTTCTAAAGCCTACCTATTTAGATTCAAATTGGCGGATAGTTCCTACTGCAGCTGCGATAATCAGACTCTTGTAGAGTTAAATGACAATTGAACATATTATTTTTGACTTTCCTAAATTTGAATTAACAAGACTGGAATGTGAATTGCGTATGGGCTTTCTGCTAAAAGAAGAAACTCTGAACAGAGATATTAACAACAAAGACAGTCGAAAACAATTTTTAAATTTGCAATAAGTAATGTAGGAAAAATTATTAAGGAAAATAAGACAAAATAAATGTTAGAATAAGTATGCTCTAGAAATTAGTCAAAGTAGATAAGTAATATTTTAACCAACGTAAGATGAAGTAGAATTACCATTATCATTATTAAAATTATAAGTAGTCATGTAGACATAAGTACATAAATGGTTAAGGTATCACTGTAAACTTTACAAAAATGTAGAAAAAAGCCACGGAATACTATGAACATTACATATTGGGAAAAGAAATATTTGAACAGTGAAGTCTTCCTAAATACAATTTTGTGTTTTCTTAAAATCTTATAAAAAAAATGATATCTCTTTTATCTTTTTAACACGGCGTTATATATATGCCTTTAATTTTAAAGGGCTAAAATAGACTAATTAAAATTCTGTCAACAGGAGCCGCGAGGAAAATGTTGCGGGTGCTGAAGATAAGGCGAATCGCGGCTGGGCTTCCACAACAAATCTTAATTCAATTGACACGCCTAAGAAAGACATATCCACTTCAGGTACAAAGAACATCTTAAAATAACGTTCGGAGCAGGAATAACACGTAGTTAAAATTAAAGTGTTATCAGTCTTTCCTTAGAGTACCTTTCCTTTTACTATTTGCTAAACGAGTAATATTTGATGAATAAATTATCAATTAACCTGAATCGGAATCTGAATTGAAAAAAACGTCATGATCCTAATCAACGGGACAATTAAAAACCTTAGATATAGAATTCTAATCTATTAATTAGACTTACGGATCTGAGACGTGGTCCCTCACTGCTGGCCATATGAGGAAGCTCAAGGTCGCTCAGCGAGCTATGGAGAGGGCTATGCTCGGAGTTTCTCTACGTGATAAACTTAGAAATGAGGACATAGCCCAACGGATTAGTAAGCTGAAATAGGCCGGCCATATAGCTCGAAGAACCGACAACCGATGGGGAAGAAAGGTTCTCGAGTGACAGCCTCGTACCGGTGGGCGAAGTGTAGGGCGACCACCCACTAGATGGAGTGACGACCTGGTGAGACATACAGGAAGTCGATGGATGCAAGTGGCTCAGGACCGTGCTTTGTGGCATTCCTTGGGGGAGGCCTATGTTCAGCAGTGGACTTGCGAAGGGCTGTAATGATAATGATGATAGAATTCTATATCTAAGTTAAAAAATGTACTTCGTTTTAGCATCCCTGATAAAACTAAGCAGCTATTGTTAAATATTGCCGATTAGTCCTAATGGTCTCGCCATTTGGACTAATCGGCAATATTTAGTACTCAGTACTTTTGAGAATTAAAGAGTATTATACACAAGTACATTCTTTATAACTCTCAAAACTGTGTTGTGTTTGACGTTATTGTATACCAAGATATAAAAGTTTGTATTTAGAAGTGATATCCTTAACATGCTTATTTGTACATTGTAAAACCACACTACACGTGTACAATACTACAATAGTAGTAGCACTTAATGAGTCGGTTTGACCGGGAAAGGAGCGTGGCTGTTACTTAGCGTAGTCATAATGCTGCTATTTAGTTTTATAAGATAACCGGAGACTCCTTTCACTGGTAACGAAGCATTCCATATTAGTTTTCAGGGGTGACAGCGTATCTGTTTTTGATTCTTAATCAAGGATAGATGTAGGTGTTTATGGGTCACATTATTAATTTATTTACCAACAGGTGGACTGTGAACTCGTTTGTCACCGTTCCTTCTTTACAAAAACTGTCTTTTGTGTTGCTGCTTATTAACACTTGCTTTTTTGTGCTTTTGTCGTGATGAATTTGTAAAAACATGTAGAAACTATAAATGTTTAGTATGATTACAGATTGTAGCATCCTTGTACTTAATAAGTATTAAATAAATACATGAATGTGAGTAATCACTAACATTAGAGTAACATGGTTCTGATTGCAAATGAATTTCACGAATATGTGTATTTGTCTCCTTAAATTAATACTCACTTTTGTTTTTTAAACTAACAAACTTTTAAAAGTTTAAAAAAGACAATTGTATCTAGCCACCTTTATACTCGGTGGTTAAAACTCCTTATTTACGGAATTAAAAGTCATCCCTTTAATAACGTGTCCCTATCAGTTCCAGTTGTATAAGACTGTCAACTGTTACTAACAAAATGATGAGTGATGTTTCATAAACCCATGCAAACCCAGAGTTATAAAGTTTAAGATTTAAATTTTGTTCATAGGGTTGAACAAAACCAATACATCATGGACGTCGACGCCGGACCTGGCAAACGATGACTGCACAACTGCGGTCACCGTGAGCCTTAAGTTACCCAAACGACGGTCCACGGGTCCAATACCCTCCTTGGATACTGGTCAGAATGTTACAGGTCAAATGTCAAGACATAATATTTCCATTTTTATTTTGTGGATATTTTATCGCATCCACAAAATAATCTATCGCATTTTCTCATTAAGTATAGAAGAATAAGTTAGTACTTAGTTATTCTGCCGTCTAAAGTCATCAATTTTTAATAAATACGCTTTTCAGAACAATAGATAAGATGGAGTTATGCTAAAATGTGTGTAACAAGGATTAAATTATTATGCTCCTATAAAAATACTACCTAATTCAAGAAACACAAATGCATATAATTCGTTTTATTACATTATAACATCGACCTTAATATTTGAAATTCTATTTTATTTAAATTAATTTAAGTTTAATGCAACGCTTTAAACCCACTCTCAATTTAAATTTCTTCTTATTGGTATTTTTCTTGGAATATTACCTATCGTGGCAGAATATACGCAGGAAATTGCATTCGAGTTAACATTGTACCAGAATCTTGAGCTTGTATATCTGATATCCAAGTTCAAGATTCTGCTGTCATGTCTAATATTTAATAGGCTTACAACTAATTGAGTATTGTAAAGTATTGCTCGCTAGCTTTATTTAATATGATATATATGTATAAATATAAATAAAATTAAAATGTCTGTTCGCAATATAGAAATAACTGCCTCTTATGGAGAGGTGTAGTTTGCATGTTTGTCTCTCCAGGTAATCTCTATGGCTGAACCGATTGTAATAAAACTTGACGAACAGATAGAGAACAATGCCAGTAGTTATTTTAGCTATATTTTATCTGAAAAACTTGAAGTTTTTTTTGAGAAATCGATAAATTATTATCTTAAATCTAAATAAAGCCACATTAATAGATTCTATCCAAGCAAAACCAAGGCAGGTCGCTAGTTATATTATATTTTATCTCTACAATAACAATGGCTCCATAATCTTGCAACCGCAATTAATCATAAGATATTGTTACTATTAATAAAGTCGGAAACGGAAAAGGTGGAGTTACGAAAATATACTGGTATAAAGCAACTATGTAGATAAGTAAATTAAGTACCAGCATTACAGTTGAGCAGCATCCACTTAACATCTGGTGGACTGTTTGTTCGTTATCGCCCTTAGTTCTATAAAAAGCTTTCATAGCCCAGGGTTGATATAATAATGTCTAGAAGTGAACTTTACGAGGGATCTTGAGTCTTTAAATTTTAATGCCGCCTGAAATTGTACAACACGTCATGAGGAAAAATGAAAACAACATGACAAGAGACATGATGAGAATAGTAGGTAGGAAAGAGGCCGCGGTCGAATCCTGCCCATCCTCTCCCCCCAACCTGGTGGATAAAATCACAAAAGTGAAGTGAAACTGAAAGTAGACTTTAATACCGAGACCAGAGAGCCAGGGACTAAACCAGAGGTTTCAAGTTATATTTTTTTTAAATATCGTTTAAATTTTGATACCTTCTACCGTTATTACATAAAACAACCTTTACAATTAAAAATAATTGAAAATTAAAATTTTTGTACTGCCGACTTCAATATAAGTTATTAAGAATAACTCAAAAACTAATGGTCTGATCTTGATCAAATTCATATGGGACCACACGATAAGTACCAGCTCTCAAATAAAAAAAAGAATAATCGAAATCGGTTCACGTATAACAAAGTTATGACACACATTAAAAAAACATACAGTCGAATTGAGTACCGTCTTCTTTTTGGAAGTCGGCAGAAAATGCCTTTTCATTATCATTTCAGCCTATAGTCTGTGAACATAGGGCTCCCCCACAGAATGCCTCATACCATATTTACCACAGTTGCCATGCTTAGCAGACGGGTCGGCTTGACAACCGCAGTTTTTATTTTCTTGGCGTTATTAGAAAGATGCTGCTGTCCATCTCCTGGTCTCTCTATCGCCACTACGATTACGAATAATAAAAATAACTTTTAAGCTATATGCTTACCCACTTGTAATAATGCTCTTTGTTTCAAACATCTGTTTAATGCCAATTAATCGTTAACTTTCTTATTAGTTATTATATGTATGTAGGCACATGAAATATTTTCATTTATTATATACTCACCTTTAGCTTTTTGGAGGATTTGTAAAAACTATGTTAAATGTTTACAGACACTGTGTCAATACGTCGACCATCGCCGTCCCCGCCGCCGCCAGCCATCGCCACGATCACAATCAACAAGAATGACTCACTGGCAGAACGTGTTCGAAAGGTGATCACGGAAAGTCATTTCAGTTATTTTAAGAATTTACGTTTAGTCAATGATTGTAACATTATACTTTTAAACAATCAAATATTCAACCAGTATATTAAATAATGAATTACGAATCATTAAGAATTAAATAGATATTAAAAATGCAAAATTTCAATTTAATGAATTTATGTCCTCAGAAACGCTATAAAACTAAATTAACGTAATTGAGGTAAACATTTTAATTAATTGATTAGCGTTTTTTGTTGTAATCTAGGTCCTCTGAACAGCATAACGACTAGCCGAAGAGACGCGTAGACATTGGCTACGATCTTCTTATAGCAACGCTACAATTTTGCCAGCTGTTATATTTTATCGTATATTTAAGCATACAGAATAACGATATTAAATTTAAAAGTCAATTAGATCAATTTCGTCATGCATGCAGGGTATATTGCTATAGTAGGCTTGCTTGACAAACCGGTTGGCAACTGCAGTTTTTTTTAGTGTAATTTTGCTGTTTTCAGAAAAATGTTGCTGCCCAACTCTTGATATTCTTACACCGCCACTACTAAAGTTACTAAAGTCAATGATAAATGACAGTTTCGAACAATTAATACCATTGGCGTAATAATTAAAAATAAAACGCATATATTAAAATGGTACTGCGTACAGCAAGAAGTGAAATAATTGCCAGCGTCTGTCTTTCCGTCCGATTACAAACTGGCCTAAATTAGTCCGTAAACGGTTCACTTAGGTAGATATCTGTAGTAGCAAGTGTCTTCATCATCATTATCATCATCATCTTACAGCCCTTTACAAGTCCACTGCTCAACATAGGTCTCCTCAAGAAATACCTACCATAAAACATGGTCCTGTACCATCCGCATCTATCGATGCGATCATGTATTTCTGCTTGTCTTACCAGTTCGTAGCACTCCATCTAGCGAAGATCCGCTATAAACTTACCGGTACGAGTTACGAGTTCTTAGTAGAATTTGCAGTAATCACCTCGCTTGACAGGTGGATTGGAAATCACTATACCCGCCTTTCTAGCCTTTGATGCTTCATGCCGTCACCGGTCTGGATATTTTACATCTATATTTCAATAAATATGAAATGGTTAGATCACACGTTCGGCCTGAATGAATTAGATATGGTGACGGTGATAGCTTCTCTTATGTCGCCAACGTACAACAAAAATATTAAAAACTATTAACTTTAGTCTCCAGACACTTTATTCGTACTTCAATAAAAATTTAAGCGAAACAACTTTCTAATAGAACTGTCAGTTATACAAACTGTATGCTAACAAAACTATTGCGAAGCCACATTTAAAATAATCGAAAGGTCTCCATGAGTACTCCTATTTGGCAAAGCGTGAAGCGTTATAATTAACTGAGGAAATGGCACAGAGACTATTTTTAAAGAGTTATAATTGTTATACCTACTGTTATTATTTTCATTAAAGCATTTTAACATATATTTTATTGATTTGCCTATAGATGCAGCTAATAAAAACTCAGAATAGTTTTGAAAAGGAGTCTAGTTTAGAAAAGGAAAGAGAAAAGAGAAGTACTTCTAGAAGTAAAGAAGAAGAAAAGCCAGTTAAACTAAAAGATGAACGAACATCCACCAAAGACGATGTAAATTTTTTAATCCAGGTAACGTAGTTAGTGCTATGTTCATCATACAAAACAAAAACATTTTTCTTTATCAATTGTAATATCTTTATTACAGGTAAAAAATTCTCGTAATCTATCAGCTACCTCAAAGCCTCCTGTAAGGGGGGGACCGTCACGAGATAAAGATGAAATATCTGACGATGATGCAAGCACTGCCGGGACGGTAACGACGGATACCACGCTCGTTGATGCTAATATTAAAGACTATCAGGTATCAACGCTCATAGTTTTGCCTACTGATCAGACCTCTATCAAGTTTCAATAATAGTTAATAGCTGCTGTAATAGCCTGATTTTTTTTCCGATCGCAATAACTCGATGGCCACAATGTTTGCTTAATTCGACCTTTACTGTATTTACGAAAGAAAATGGAATAAATCGATGGAACTTAAATGTATAATCATAATATTCAGAAGATATTCGCCTATACTATGAGATTCTAAGCTTCTAAATGCGAAGTGTTTTATTTGTTTCTTAAGTTTTTTTATAGAATAAATACTTATTAAAATGTAGATACGTAATCATCTGACTGACTACTAAGATAGAATGCCTCGTTGCCAGTTAAAGGTGTCACCAGGATTATACATTCAGCATAATAAGAAACATAGCAGTATTAAGTTGCTATTTTACGCCCGTATTCTATGAGAGCGTTGCTTTTCCCTATTAGAGACAGCCATTCGTGATGCAACCATAATATAGTTGCAGCTCTTTGATGTTAAAAATTATTACTAAAATTATTTCAAAAGTCCTATCAAAAGTCGCGTCTCCACCAAAGTTTTGTTGCCAACACAACAGTTGCCAACAAAACTTGTTTCCATTTTCGGCGGCAACATTAAAGGAATACGCTTGTTGCCGTTTGTTACCAACATTTGTTCCCTCGGTGGAGACGCTTGTTGGAAACAGTTGTAAACAGTTGGAAACATAACTGTTCTCAACATTTTTGGTGGAGACGCGGCTTAACTTCACGGTATGGAAAGTCAAACATCTGGGATATACATAACACATAAATATACATACTGTACAAAATTTAGCGGGTATGTATATATTTATTTTGTTTTTTTTTTCTTGTTCTGAAATTACCTATTATTATGTAGTTAATAATACGCATATGTATATGTATTACTATTGCCATGTCTCTGTTATAACTGGGAGAGAATGCCAAAAGACATTTCATTCCGCCGTTAGTAAAACTTTTATGGATTCCTTGTGATTGAAATTAAACGTTAAATATTAGGTTACATGGCATTCCACATAAAAAATACAGCTAATATTATTAGATTTAGTCTATAAATAGTCCAATGTTGGACATAAGAATTCTCCTTAGAAGAAGGGATGTACTGAAAACGCCAAGCTTAACTACGACTTTACAGCCTGCTCATACGAGTACTTACATCGGTCTGAATACCTAATATATGTAGTGTACTTAATTGATTAATTAACGCCAAAAATTTAAATATAAGCAAGTTTTCTCAGTGAAGTACTTGTATTAAAGCCATTTTAGAAGACTTTTTTGAATGTATAAACAAAATCATCAACTTGTGTGAAACATAATGTAGCATTTGATCATATAAATATGTAGGATTTAGGTTATTCTGTATATTAAGGCACACAAAGCTACGGGTACCCGTAACAGCTTTTGCATAATTCCTAAAAATGTACTATTAAATGTTTATGCGTTCAAATTTTGAAATCATGCATTTCTATACATTTTTACATACAAAATAAAACTTTCTATTGTTTAAAAATTTATATGACTTTAATTAATATAATTCTTAGGACCAAATAGAAAGTCTAAAACAAGAAGTGGATACGCTTAAAAGGAGATGCGAACGAGTTGAAAAAGAAAAAAGTGATATTCTGCTTAGAAGGCTGGCAAATATTGACACGGCAAATAAATACACTACGGGACGATCTTCTGAAGTTTTAAAATTACAACAAAAAGTTAATGAGCTAACAACACAAAATGAAGACTTAAGAGACGAGAAGAAACATCTAACACTTAGAGTGAAAGAGATTGAAGCAGAACTTGAGGTTAGTATTTTGGTTTTATTATTGTTAGTATTATTATTGATATGAATTTGAATAAGCATTAAAAAGATAAACGTTTCAAAATATTGTTTGAAGAACTATTTTAAATATAACGGAACATAGCGGTTGACTTCACAGCAGGACCTTTTCATTCTGCAATATTGAAGTTAAACCCTAATTATCTATTTTGCGAGTTTACTCTATGAGCATTAGACCCAAAAAGGTTATTTATTACAAATTAACTTTAATATTTGTGCATACACTTATGGCCGACACATACGGTCAATTAAACTGATCAGTTGAACGGACTGATGTGCATCCAAAAAATTACCGTGAGTGTGAAATCTTAAGTTCAAATTTTTAACTGACGACAACCCACGGATTTTTCAGGGCGCACGTTCAGTTAAACTGATCAGATGAACTGACGTATTACATCTAAAAACTGACCGTGACTGTGAAAGTTTTAGTTGAAATTTGAAGCCAGTAATTGGGGAAATCGTTTTGGCTGATATCCGTTTTAACTGATCAGTTAAACCGATCAGTCCAACTGATCAGTTTAAGGGATTATGTGTTTCGAGCATTACTCATACCTGGTGCCATAGATTAAATCATTCCAAAATAAAATAATTTTATTAATGAATTATTCTTATTTTTTTTATTTGTAATTATTAGTCACGGCCGTCAGTGGAAGCTCAAGCAAAACAAATCGAGCAGTTAAGAGCAAAACTCTTGGCGGCGGAAACATTATGCGAAGAGCTTATGGATGAAAATGAGGATATGAAAAAAGAATTGAGAGATCTTGAAGAGGAAATAGAAGAAATGCAAGATAATTTTAGGTATGTTGTATATGTATCTATATATATGCCCTGGCAGACCGGAGGTAAAGCGTTGGATATATTTTTAGGGTTCCGTACCCAAAGGGTATCCAACGGAATATTACTAAGTCTCCGCTGACCTTCTGTCCGTCCGTCTGTCTGCCTGTCTGTCAGCGGGCTGTATCTAATGATCCGTAGATAGTTGCAATTTTCGCAGAACGTGTATTTCTGTTACCGCTATAACAAAAAAAAAATAAAAAAAAAATAGAAAAATTAAAAGGAGCTCGCCTACTAGAAACGTGTATTACAATGGTTCGCCGGTTATTTACTATACGCGAAGAACCCGGGTTCGACACCAATGAAATTGCTAATTTTAATTTACCACGTGCTCAGCAGTGAATGAAACATCGATAGGAAACATACATGTCTATGAAATTTACAAATATATTTTCGACGGCATGAAAAATACATCGTAATTCCGCCAACCATTAGGGCAGCGCGACTGATATTTCTTGTCGTAAAAATCCTCTCAGAAATGAGAAGACATCTGTGCCCGGCAATGGGACGCATACATTCTCTAACTTTATATTTACTTTTTCATAGAATAAGGGTGACAAACGGGCATAAAGTCATCTCGATGGCAAATTATACACAGTGGTAGAGCCACGCGGCAGCTTTTGCTGTCGCACGGATGGGCCGGCTCGAACCGGGGTGGTACCACGACCTCACAGAATACCAGCGTGAAGTAGCGGTTTACCTCTGTGTTTCGCTTGGTGAGTGCAGGTGGCCGGAGGCCCTTTTTACTGGAAATGAGGCATTCCATCTTAGTCCTCACGGGTGACAACGCATCTGCATTTTGATTCGCAAGCGAGGATAGATGTAGATGTCTATGGGCCGCAGCAACCACTTACCATCAGGTGGACTGTGTGCTCGTTTGTCACCCTTATCCTATAAAAAAAAAGTGGATGCTGCGGCCCATAAACATCTACATTTATCCTCAATTAAGAATTAAAATGCAGTTGCATTCTCATCCCCGAGGACTGAGATGGAATGCCTCGTTTCCAGTAAAAAGGGTCTCCGGTTCTCTACACTCACCATACGAAACACAGCATCATTAAGGTGCTATTTTACGCTGGTATTCTGTGAGAGCGTAATCCTTCCCCGGCCGAGCCGACCCTTTCGTGCTGTAACCACTAATACAGCAGCAGTATGGCTCTACCACGTACAAGTATATATATGAGATTATATGTGCTCATACATAAAAAAATTATTAAAAAACTTTGTTTGTTCTTAAACCAATATACAATTTGCAGAGAGGATCAAGCAGATGAATATTCTTCCTTGAGAAGAGAATTAGAACAAACAATAAAGAACTGTAGAGTTTTATCTTTTAAGTTAAAAAAGACTGAAAGAAAAGCTGAACAGCTTGAAATTGAAAAGGCTGAACAAGAAAAGAAACTGCTGGAGGTATGTGTTTTTTTTAATATATAATTTTTACACTTTTCACCTAGAAACTTTCAACAACAGAAGGTTTTCTTTAAAGTGTGGTATGACTTACAATACAATACAAATATTAGGCGTTTATATTATTTTTTGTTTATGTTAACATTTTCTTACCAAGAAGTAAAAGCTCTCGGAAAATTTTAAGGATAGGTACAGACAAAAAGTGTTTGTGCTCCAGGTTCGATTTTAATGATTATTAAATTTTGATGATAGAATGTGTGGAATAATATTAGTTCACCTTAATATCAGTTTTTGTGTGACACTTATTATTGAACATGTTGTAAAATTGTCCCATAGATAATAAAGTATGCTAAAAGATCTTTATTAATCATTATTTAATGGAAGTAATTGTATGTAAGGACTAGAAATGAGTTGGGTGGTGACTAGAACTTTAGGCCTAGTCCGTTTGAATAGCCTATCATGTAGAGGATGTCATGTGGCTAATGGTTGAATAGGGGCAAAAAGTTCTTATTACACTCCTAGGGAATCAAAATGGCGAAAAACCAATAAATTGGGGGGAGGGGGGACTCGAACTTTAGGCATAGTCAGTTTGAATAGCCTATCATGTAGAGGATATTCTGGGGTCATGGTTTAATAGGGGCAAAAAGTTCACATTACTCTCGTAGGGGGTAAAAATGGCCAAAAACCAAAAAATTTAAAATTCTTATTTCAGCTATAACTCCGCCTTCTTCGGAGGTTCTTATACAGTCTTTAATTCCCGCACCCCACTTGTTGGAAGTAATTGGGAGTAAAGACTAGAAATGAGTTGGGGGGCGACTCGAACTTGGGTCCTAGTCAGTTTATATAGCCTATCATGTAGGGGATGTCATAGGGGTCATGGTTGAATAGGGGAAAAAAGTTCTCGTTACACTCCTAGGGGGTCAAAATGGCCAAAAACTAAAAAAAAATCTTATTTCGGCTATAACTCCGCCTTCTTCGGAGGTTTTTACACAGTCTCTACTTCCCGCATCCCACTAGTTGCATTAAGTAAGATGTTATTAATGTTAGATAGAAAAATATGTTATAGGTGTATATTGTATTAGTGTACCCTTTTATAATTAGTATCTCGGAATCTACAATTTGGATGAAATTTTGTATTTAGATAATATTTTACTTTTCAAGTTTATCTACTCGAAGATAGATCTCATGTCCGAGAAGTTTTTTTTCTAACGCCGAGTGAAAATCGTTTGCCCAGGTACAGATATATATATATACGAGTATATATGTGCAGCGCGTTAATTTAAAATAATTACCAATGCCGACAGTGATTAAAAGGGCTGATTTAAGATCGAAGTTCATGTTACAGTAAAATTTAAAAAAGCTGCCTTGAAAATGTACAAGCTGACTCTTTTTTTTTTAGTTAGTTGGTGGTCAAGAAGGAATGCAGCGTGAAAACCGAATTAAGGAATTGGAACAAGAAGTGGCTCGCTCAACAGAGGTGTCGCTGCGATTACAACGCGACCTGGCGGAAGCTAATGCAAAACTTGCGGCCGTTTCTGGTGCTCCTCCAGCTAATTTAAAGAAACACACACCACCCGCTGACGGTGTAAGTGCTTTTCCACTATAACAGAATTAATGGCTGCCTGGCCTAGTGACCTGCGTACCAGGCACTAGCTTTGATTCCCTTCTTGTACTTGCTATATTACATTATAGATTAAGGAATGTGGACATTTGCGATTGTGTTTTTTAAATAAGTAAGGATGCAAATGAGCACAATTACACTTGATAGAAACTCAATTAGGAAACAAAATATTGATATATTGTGACCCTGAGGACAGATGAAATGGCTCGTTAACAGTATAAAGGTCTTCGATTCTCTTCACTAACTGTACGTAACACGATAACATTATATGCCGGTATACTATGCGAGCGTTGTCCTTTTCTGCTGACTTCCAAACAGGAGACGGTACTAAATTCTACTGTATATTATTTTTTATGTGCGTTACCTCATAACTTTTTACTGGGTAAACCGATTTCGATGATTCCTTTTTTATTTGAACGCTGGTACTTCTGGTCCCATATAATTTGATCAAGGTCAGACCAATAGTTTTTGAGTTATTTTTAATAACTTATATTGAAGTCTAGTACAAAATTTTTAATTTTTAACTATACGGTAACAAAATTCGTGCGTCTCCGCGTACAACTCATGCTGTTTCTACAAGTTCTTTCAATACTATTAATAGTACTGTTTTGGTTCTATATTTTTTATAGAATAAGGGTGACAAACGAGCATACATTCTACCTGATGGTAAATGGATGCTGTGGCCCATATGCATTTACATTAATCCTCAATTAAGAATCAGTATGCAGATGCGTTGCCACCCCTGAGGACTAAGTTGGAATACCTCGTTTTCAGTAAAAAAAGGTCTCCGGTTCTTTAAAGTTGAGCTCTTCATTAAGCTACTGTTTTACGCCAGTATTCTGTGAGAACGTGGTACTTCTCCGGTCGAGCCGAGCCATTCGTGCTACAACCATAATATAGCTGAAGCATGGTTCTACCACGCACACATATGTATATCTTGTGAATATTATTAGTCACGGGTAATATGTCATTGCTAGCTAGGTTTTTATGGTCGAAACTAAAATTCATATTTGTTATTATACTTACAGCAAAAGGTTTCACGGTCGTCATTAACTCGAGGTGGTAGCCAGGAGGACCCAGCTCAGTTACTTCGAGATCTACAAGACTCATTGGAGCGCGAGGCTGATTTGCGAGAACAATTGCGCAACGCTGAAGAAGAGGTACTTGTCTGAATACTTAATAGCAGAAAAATAATTTATTATGTAGTTTCTATTATTTCATTCTCACATTTAACAAAAATATTTAACGGACATTTATTTTAAGTATCTAAATTTTATGAAGCCTTTTCAATAAAAATACATTTTTATAGAAAAAATTACACAAAGCTTTTAAAGTAGCGAAAGCTGTAAGCTTATAGACTCTTATTTTCTAACAGGCCAGCCGGTATCGGCATCGCTGCGGAAGCAGAAGAATGCCAACTTCACCAAAACTTTCATCATCAATTCCTCTAAAATTAACTCCTGAAAGCTCCATTAATGTGCATGAGGATAGGTCTAGACAACAAATAATTAAAACACAGATGGCTCTTGAAAAAAGCTTATCTTCTTTAGATATTAGCAAACTGACCATAGGTGTAAATGAGATTGTGCAATCTCCACAAGATCTTATTCAATACTACTCTCAGGGCTGCCAAACTAATCACATATTATTATTAGACGTTGCTACGGAAATTCAGAAGATCACTCTAGATTCGAATATACAATGCAATATAAACGTTTTGGAAATGTATTCGCAAACTGAAATCCCATTTACGAAAAACAAACATTTACAAACTAATAGTTTGCAAAAAAGTTGCCTTATTCAAACCGATAAGGTAAAAGAAAGAAGTAATTCTACGCAGACTATTGCTCAAGTAAAGAACGACATTTTCACGCAAACCTTACAAAAATTAACTAAATCCGAGCATTCTAGTACTGATACAGAAAACTTATTTATGTGCGATAGAAGTACTCCAACTCAAGCTTCCAATTCAAATGTAGATATTTTCGATAACACTGAGAGTGAAAACATCTCTAGTGGAAACATAAATCGTACCAAAGAAAAATCCGAAAGTCCTCCTCTTTCATCAGAAAAAACTGTACCTGGTCCCTCTGATGTGATTTTTTTACCTTTCGTATCATTGTTCAATCCACTGGCAGCAAGATTACCGATTTTAGGTACATAAATTTTTGAGACCAATTTTAAATGTTGTTTTTCCAGTAATTTCATTAATTATAATATTAACAATAATTTATCCTACTAGTATTTGTAGTGTTGATCGAAATATACGATGTTATTAAATAAACTAATATTTTCAGGCAAATAACTTGCGTAAAACTGCATCAAGGGTTGAGGACGACAATGAGTCCTTACTTCTACAGCTGAAGAAAATGGCTACCAAAGCCAGAAGTACGTCAAACTAATTTTATTCTTAAAAATCTTCTTGCTCTATGTTACCCTAAATTTAAAACCATCATAAAGCGTTTCATCATATAACCATTATCTTGCTTTAACTGTAGCGCAGGTCCTCACTTTTTGTAACAGTCCTTTAAAGTATAATTACTAACCGTTTTCCCTTGTAGGCTCATCAACTTTGTATATACATACATAGAAATATACGTACTGAATTCAAAGGCGAAATAATGGTAGCCATTTTCTCCGGTTTATAGTCGTGATTAGAATGACAAGGTGGTTGATTTTTGATTTAATTTTTTGTGATTAAAGTGCCTATCCTTCAACTAACTGATAATTTGCATCACTTTAAAATTTATTACTAATCACTTTTTGTGAATTTTCAAATTTGTTTTATTTTTAATTTCTCTTATAATATGTAAATAATTTTAAGAAATTTGTCAACAGGTCGTAAACTTTCACCAACACCTCCGAATAACAGGCTTGCTATTGAAGCACCTAACGAAAAAGATGAAGGAATATCAGACGAAGAAGACCCTGCGGAATTACGACTCTTGCTGGAACTTAATGAACAGGTTAAAATTATAAATTGATTATAAAAATAATAACATACAAAAAGGAAAACATTCAACACCGCTACTTTCTGATGTGACCGTCTTCTGAATAACTGCATTCGATTCATTTTCAATCTTCGAAAGTATGACCATGTATCCACGTATCGATCTCAATTAAAATGATGATTTCTTATATTTACGCGAACACTACACATTTAAATAAAACTAATTTTACGGATTTTATCGCGTATATTAACTTATTTTACTTTCCCGACGTTTCAAGCACTTTACAGCACCCATGGTCACGGGGGGGACTGAGGTGTATGACGTCCCAATGTCATAGTTAACCACGGCTACCTCCAGATTAAAAATTATTAATTTTTGATCTGATTAATAATAATTTTTAATCTGGAGGTAGCCGTGGTTAACTATGACATTGGGACGTCATACACCTCAGTCCCCCCCGTGACCATGGGTGCTGTAAAGTGCTTGAAACGTCGGGAAAGTAAAATAAGTTAATATACGCGATAAAATCCGTAAAATTAGTTTTATTTTATTTAAATCAATTAAAATGGTTACCTATTCGTCAACGCCGTAGTTTGCGTGCACTCACTACCCTTTATTCTATACTGATGTCTCCAACTTCCTGTTCCTACTTATCTCCATACTTTCAGTTGCTTAGCGCTAGTCATGAGAGAAACCTCCGCTCTACGAACAACCTTCTTCTCCTATGTCCCTCCCATAGCTCTGGACTTGTTCATTCTTCTTTCCACATTCAATCTATTCTCCTTTGGAACGCACTACCTCTCGAAATCAGGACGGCTAGCAATCGTTACGCGTTCAAGATGAAGGTTCGGGAATATTTAACTAATAAATTGGCAGATTCATCATAGTAATAGTTTATATATATTTTATATATAAATATATATATTTTATTTGATTATGTCTATAATTGTATATCTTCAGGAGTTTACATACATCTGACGTTTTAATATGTACTTAAGTAATATACATTTTTATTATCTTAATATTTTTATCATAATTTATTTTATAAGTATATATATATATATATATATATATATATATATATATATATATATATATATATATATGTATATATATATATATATATATATATATTATATATTATATATATATATATTATATTTTTTATTACCATTTATATCCTATGTATTTTATTTCGATGTGCTACAATTTTTTTTTGTTATTTTAGTTTTGTATTAACTCCTACTTCATTATATCTCTGCATCATCCCAAGGTAGACTGGTAGAGAATGCCTTAGGCATTAAGTCCGCCTATATACCACATGTGTATATGAAGTTTTAAATAAATAAATAATTTTCAGGAATCAGCGGTCTTGCGGCGTAAAGTTGAGAAATTAGAACAAGATAGAGATTCCTTAACGAAACAAGTTAAGGAGCTAACGGATAAAATCTCAAATATTAATACTAAGCAAAATACTACTTCAAGCACAGGTTTTCGACGAAATACTGGAAAAACTAACAATTTAGCCGAAGAAAAAGTAAAAGTAGGATTTCACATTACATCACATTATTTAAAACATAATTTTCTAAAATAACGGCTTATAGGTATTTACATAAAATTTGGTTTTAGGTTCTAGAAGATGAGATAGCGGAACTGAGAAAAAAATTAATCGAAAAAGAAAGAGACTGTGAAAGGTTACACGCAGAACTTAGTCTAGCCCAAAAAAAACCAAAAGCATCACTTATAAAAAGCAAGTAAGAAAGAAGTCTCTATATCTATTCTATTACACCTATTTTCATTTGCATTTTCTTTATTTTATTGTATGTTTTTGTAATTTTGGGTACCTGCGTATTTAAGGTCACTTGATGCAGCAAGCGAATTACAAAATGTGGATTTAAAAAGACAACTACAAGTAATAGAACAGGAAGCAAATGTTTTAAGAGCTAAAACGCAAAGCCTTGAAGCAGATAATGAAAAACTACAAGCAGAAAATAAAAGATTACAGGTAAATTTCACATATGTGCTAAAACCTTTTTTAATAATAACATAAATAATGCATAAAGCAACATAAATAATAATATTTATATTGCAAATTTGAAACCCTTTTCTCTCTAAAATATTTTACAGCTCTTGAAAAACGCTAAAACTTTAAAGTCTGATAAAAACTTAGAACAATCTTCTATTAAGGCAAGCCAGTTAGAAAATGAATTAAAGGAAGCATTGGCAAAAATCAAGGATTTAGAAAGTATGAAAGACAAAGACGACAAAATTGAAAAGAAAGTAAGATTTGGGAGCGATGTGAACAAAAAAGAGACTGAAAGCTTAAAACTAAAACAAGAAGAACTAGATAAATTAAAACTCAACTATAGTAAGGTAAATCAGTAATTTTAATTCCGTATATAATTAATATTTTAATAATGTTTACTTAAATAATGAATCGTAATTTATAGCTAGAAAAAGAAAAGACAAAACTTCAAATGACTCTAAAAGAATTGAAAGAAGATGCAATTAAAACGTTCAAGCCAAGGAATCCAAAAAAGCCTACGGATCAAACTACTAAACTGCAAATGAAAAAAATGGTAGAAGAATTAGAAAACGAAATTGGTAAATTGACTGTTATATTCTTCCTAACTCGATATTTAATTTTACTAATGTTAATAAAATTTAATTTTATTAATGTTGTTATTATTTTCTTTGTTTAGGAGAAATGTATATTATAATGAAGAATGCTGGCCTCTCAGGTGAAGATATTAATGCCAAAATCCAAATTGAAAAGGATATAGAAGAATTAAAATCAAAACTATCAAGAAATGAAAATGAATTCAAGAATGAAAAAAATCGCTTACAAACAGAAATCGCAAAGTTAAAGGATATAAATATAAAATTAGAAGCAGACAAAATTTCTTATCTGGAAAAATGTAAGAAGTTAGAAGTTGAAGTCAACACTGGTATATCAGAATGCAAAATACTAAAGGATGAAAAGAAAAATTTAGAAACTCAAATATCTAAGCTAAATGCGGATCTCGGTAAGTTTTCCGTTGGAATATTACATTAAACAAATTAACAAATTTTTATACAATGACATTTTAATTTTTAGAAAAAACTTCAACGCAACTAACTGCAATGTCTGACTGTAAGAAAAAAATTGAACAACTCAAAAAAGAAATGGACGATAAAGATAAGGAAATTGATAAGTTAAAAAAGCAAATAGAAAATATAAATAAATTGGAAAACGATAAAAATAAGTTATTGAAAGAGGTAAAAATTTATTTGATTTTATTTTAAAACGTTAATTAATCATTTTAACCGTGTTGCGGCGATGTAATAAAATCAACTCCCCCATATGTCCCGTGACTGTCCTATAACATGCGACAGAGGGAATCCAATCACGAGATGGGTAACAGCGTCTTCCCAATAATATCTAGAAATTAAAAAATGCTGTTGCTGCCAGTCAGGCGTTGCAACTATGCCAAATATCCCCCGTATCTTGGAAGTTATGGAAAAGCCTTTGTTCAGCGGTGCAATTTGAGAAACGGCAATAATGATGATGATGATTTTAATAAATGTTAATTTAATATAATAACGTAACATTAACTTTATATTTTCCTTTTGCATTAGGTCGGTGATAAAACAAAAAAGATTATTGATTTAGAAAAGAAACTTAAGGATACAGAAGAAAAATGCAAACGAAGTGAAAAGTTGCTGTCTGTTCAAAAAGATCGTGTTGCCAAATTACAAAAAGAGGTAGGTATGGATAAGAATTTCCCTGCTAAATAAAAGCAAAGATTAAGGTTAACTATTAAGACTTGAATAAAAGTGATTTGCTTGTAATATGGTTATGTTTTATTAATATTTGAATTATATAAAAAGCTGACAGAAGAGAAACAGCAAGCAGAGGCTCTTATTAATTCTCGCAGACGTTCTTCTATCGAATTCACAAGCGAAAAAGACGAACTACAAACAAAACTAATTAAATCAGAAAGTAAAGTGATTTATCTAGAAACGGATTTAAAAGATTTGAAAAATGAATACGAAAATAAAATCGTAATTCTGGAGTCAACTATTGCAGCGAAAGATACCCATATTAAGCAACTGGTAGTACATGTGACTTTCCAACGCATGAGTCTCTACATTTAAATGTATTTTGTTATATAAAAACTAACTTTCAAAATATTAAAATATCCTTAAACTTAATCAATTATCCTACAATCGGCCTTTAGAAGTAGCGCCATTAATTTACTTTTATTAACAATGAAAATCAATATTTTACTGTTTTATTTGTTACTAGATGTTCCTTGCGACTTCATCCACGTTGGTTTTATTTTTTTTGCGCGGAACCCTAATTCTTTTTCTAACATAAAAGTAGCTTAAGTTATTCCTTATAACATCATAAATATGCCAGTAAAAGTTCCGTCACAATCGGTTTAGCCGTTTCGGAGATTAGCTGGAACAAACAGACAGACAGACGATGGACAGACAGACAGACAGATAAAAATTTATAAAATTGTTTTTTGTTATAAGTACCGTTTATACTTTAATATGCATTTAGTAAAAATCTGTTATTTTGACCTTAAAAAACAGATTCAATTTTATTTATTTCTATATAGCTTACAAAAACTAACGTAATGTTACTATGTTTTAAAATTACAGGAAGATACTTTACGAGAAACATCTAATAAAAAATACGACGATACAGTTTCCTCGGCAGAATTGTCACAAATAAGGGAAAAATATGAAACAACAAATAAAGAACTTCAAGAGAAAGAAAAAGATTTAGAAAGGGCTAAAGAAAAGATAAGTAATATGGAAAAGGAAATTTCTAATTTACATACAGAGGCAACACGTCTTAAGTCAGAGGTAGCTAAATTTGAAAGTGAACGTAAAGAATTTGAAAACAAACTCCAAACCGAAAAGAAGGAATCTAATTATTGGGAAAAGAAAACATCTGAACTCGAAAATGATTTACAGGCATGTTGGAAATATTTCATATTATTTTAAATAAATACTTATGAGTGTTATCGTTATATAATGTATGAGTGTACAAGATGTGGGAAGAAGAATAATAATATGATTATGACGACTCTTACAGGCCGAGCGGAAAAAAATTGATCGAATAAGAACTAATCACGATAAAGATGTTAAAAACAAAGAAGCTGAATTGGCAACTCTTAAAGGCAAATTGAAAGTATTAGAACAAACTTCTGGGGCTGGAGCTAAAAGGATAGCTGATCTCAAGCAAGAACACGAGGAAAGCGTTAAAAGTTAGTACCTAACTAATTAATATTTAATAATTTAAATAATAATTATATGTACATATAGGCACTTACATAATAACCTATCAAAGTTGCTGCTGCTGAACATAAGACTCCTCACAGATTGCCCCACAGAGTGTATTTGTCATAATTGTCCCGCTTAGCAGGCGGCTTGGCAAGAGCTTTTTAAGAGTTGGGTTTTAATTTTTTTGCGCGGAACCCTAATTCTTTATATAATATAAATGTAGCCTAATTTACTCCTTGTGACATCAGCTATCTGCCAGTGAAAATCCCATCAAAATCAGTCCAGCCGTTTCGGAGATTAGCCGGAACAAACAGACAGACAGACGGACAGACAGACAGACAAAAACTATAAAAATTGTATTTTTGTTATTAGTAACGTATATACTTTCATATTATGTATTTAGTAAAAAGCTGTAACTTTGACATTACAAACAGACACTTCAATTTTATTTATTTGTATAGATTTGAATTGTTATCAGTAAAATACTGCTGATCATCTTTTTTAGGGTTCCGTAGCTACACAACAAGGAACCCTTATAGTTTCGTCATGTCCGTCCGCGGTTTTGCTCAGAGACCCTAGGTGCTACAAAGCTAAAAAACTATATCTAGAAAACTATGAAATTAAATTTCAAAAAACTTTTTTATTTTGGGTACATTCCATAGAAGTAAATGGATGATGATTATTTTTTACCCGTCTAATCACTATTCCATCATGTAGGGTATCGTTGGATAGTTCTTTCAAAAACATTGGGGATGTGGAACAACATATGTACTTATTTTCGAGTCAGGGATCCGTTTGCGAAATAGTTAGCTTTAAAGTGGTATATTCATTAGTCATGTCTTCCCCCCTCCCTCTCCTCTACCAACTAAACTGCTGTTTTCGGAAATGTGAAAGTATACACAATGGTAGTATATACAATGAGATTAAAAGGAAAACTATCACATCTAAGTAGAATTAAGAAGTTAACTATTGATAGTCAACCAACATAAAATGCACTTGTATTATTAAAAATTCTTCTACATAACAAATGACCTAAAACTAGCAGCATTAATAACTTTGTAATGTTATTTTAATCTGTTAAAAATAAACATTTTATGAAGAAAACTACTTACATGCATTACTACTATTTGCTTTACTTTTTCATTTGCGGGACAGATAGGGTATTATTATCAAAATCGAAAAGTTCTCTCAAATATTATATTTAAATATTTTTTGAATATCACTGCCTATTAAGGCTGCTTTAAAAATAAGTCTTTCAGTTACGATCTTCCTATTTGGACCCATTTTAGTCGTTATAGCGGTCAAACCGCGAATAATGAGATTACTTGATAATGAGCATAACTCACTTGTTATGCTGATTATCAAGGAAATCCACTTATTTTGAAGGGCAACTACGGAACCCTACTTCTACATTGTGCGTAACAGATACACTTGGCCAGTTTTTTTTTTATAGGATAACTGTGACATACGAGCTTAGAGACCGCTTGATGGTAAGTGGTTGCTGTGGCCCATAGACATCTACACCTATCCTCGATTACGGATGAAAATTCAGATGCGTTGTATCCATGAGGACTAAGATGGAATGCCTCGTTTCCAGTATAAAGGAATTCTCTACACTCACCATACGAAATACAGCAGCGTTAAGCTGCTATTTTACGCTGATATTGTGAGAGCGTGGTCCTTCCCCGGTCGAGCCGACCCATTCGTGCAACAACTATAGCAGTAATATAACTGCAGTATGGCTCTACCACGTAAAAAAATCTGTTTCATTTCCTTCTACCGCCTCTTAAGATGCCAACGGGATGATAAAGAGTAGTGTGTTCTTTTATGCCGCCACTACACAGCTAACAACGTAGGTACATAAATAATTGAGTAATAAAACATTTTATATTTAATAGAATTGGAACATTCATTGGCTGTGGAGAAGGCAGAGTACGAAGAGTTGACGAGTAAATATGAATTACTAGAAGAGGAACACGTTGTAACTAAAGCTAGACTCACGGTGGAAAAGGAACAAGCACAAGGGTATATATTTAAATAACTGACTTAATATTACTGTCTTGTCAATCTTTATTAACTTTAATCTCATTTCATTTTAAATGAAACCAGTAAATAAGTAATAAACACAACATTGCTAATATTCGCTTGACAGCTATTACTATGATAAAAAGATTAATATTTCACCAATGCTTAAAATTTTATTTTGATGACAGGGAACTACTGCACGTAAGAAAAGAGTTAAATACAACACTAGCTGAAATGAAATCACTACAAGAAAAATTAGATTCACAAACTTCGATTTGGAATAAAGAAAAATCGGAATTACAGGTAAATAAGCTATTTTTAAATATAAGGCAATCCTAATAATTACTAACCAATAATGTGGACAATCCATCGGTACCCGAATGTGTTCATTTCATTATATGCGTGGAGTTGGTGGCAGACGGTGTTTTATACCATAAACTGACTAAAAATAATGCGCAGATTTGACTGATTTTAATTCATAAAATGAAACATTTTTCATTTAACATTTTCTAGATTGTCTTTAGTTACTTATTGTGGTACAATATTGTTACATTTAGATTTTTCAAAAAAATATATTGTATCTCAAAAACTACAGGTTTTTATGAATTTACGCATTTGAATATTTTGGCATGCCTTAGTAACTCTTTTTAACATAATAATATGAACAAAATTTGAAAAATTGTTGTTTCTAAAGCCATCCCTTTTAGCCTCGTACGTCACCCACGGAACGTTATGATCATAGGTTATGATGTTTAAACTTAAGGACGTGGATATTTCTTCTGTAGTTTAGGTTTGTTTTTTCTCTATTAACCAAAAAAAAAATTTTGTAAAATGGGCAAATACTTACTCCGATGAATAAAATTTGAATTGTGGTGTAAGTCAGGAAAGACTCATTTCTCCGAGATTGTTTAATACGTATATTGATCAACTGATTGGTGAATTCAGCAGCATGTAAGTTGGTTGTCAAAAAGATGACATTAATGTAAATAATATAAGTTACGCTGACGACATGGCACTGCTGAGTCCATCGATCCATGGATTAAGACATTTGTTAACGATCTGAGGCTTACGCATTACAAAACGGCTTGAAATACAATGAGGGAACTCTAAATTAATGGTGTTTAGAAAGTGTTGCACAGTTTAAGTATCTGGGACATATTGTTACTGAGAATCTGATAGATGATTTAGATATTAAGGGAGAGCGCCGGGCATTGTCTGTGAGAGGGAACATGCTGGTGCACAGTTTGCTCGTTGTTCAGATAGCGTTAAATTAACACTCTTTAGAGTATACTGCCAAGGTTATTACACGAGTAGTCTGAACCATTTTCACTCAAAACTCGTACAATGCTATGAGCACAAACTAATAAGAAGTGCTAGGCCCTGAGAGTTCAATACAATGACGTCTTTATCATCTATTGGGGCTCCTACGCCTTTGCAGCGCATCAGGCATGGTTATGGCCGCAAAAGTAGATTTATGCAATTACGTCAAAAAAAGCCTGTTTCGATAATGATGCCACTGCGAGGAGTATCATCAAAGTTCTAAGGATGAAAGGAGAAAGGATGAACTCTGTGCTCTCAATTCATCGATTTACACGTTAAAAGACGTGTTATTTTTTATGTATTATTTAATCACTAACATAGATGTAAGCCAAATGCTAACAAAATGGGCAAACTTAGCCTGACAATAAAATAGATGTTTTTAGGAAGTAAATTCTTTTACTTTTAATTTGATTTTGGTTTTACAACAAGATCTTGATGATTCTTTGAGCAAAATTCTCTAAATATGTATATAACCCACTACCTTTCATCGCACCATTCTGTAGGTACATACTGCGCCGTTGACAAACATTTTTAGTACCTACCTACTCGCAAGTTGTCGCTGATTTGGTCAGCCAGCAGAAGAAAAACATATCCAACACATCTATAGTTGAACACGACAGAATTATATGATTATTGTGTATAATTCTATTAGATACCTTAGAATATTCTATGTACAAAAATAGTTATTGATTCATAGTACTTATGTTCCCACGTAACTATACGTATTCTACTTAACTTTTTATTTCTGTTTGGAAATCTTTTTTTCAAGATGGAAATTTAATTCTAGATTGAAATATCATCGCTGCAAGAACGATTGTGTGGTGGTGGCTGGGAAGTCGAACGGGCGCGGCTGAACGCCCGTCTAGAACAGCGCGAGCGCGAGCTCCGAGATGCACATGACCAGCATGATGTGCTCTCGCATCATCACGACCTCACAAAGAAAGAGGTCAGAGTTCTTTAACAAATAGGCAAAGAAACAGTGCATTTTATAAAACACATAGAAAAGCATCTAACGAGTGCTAATGTACGATTTCTTCGTTAGAGTTAGCATTTGCTATATTTTTGTTAGTAGTAGGTAATAATTAAAATAATATGCTTTCGTTGATTAAGGGTATGCTGACAATATATTTCACGAAATAGACGAACTAACAGTCCCCCTGGTAAAAAAATTGGCTATTGCAACTCGTGCAACCAAATACAATACGAAAGCCGCAAAGATTATTTATTTATCACGCCTGAGGCCTAATGTGAAATATCACAAAGCTTGTAATTTTTACCTGTTCACGCTCTCTTGACCAGATAAATTAACTAATTCTTCCAGTATTGCTGTGGCAGGTAATATGTATAATCAAAAGAAATTTAACAAAATATTAAGCTATTATCATTTTTATTAAAATTAATTCTGAATTCTGATTCTAAGCCTAGGCTTTTGAAATCAATTAATTATAAATGAAAATTATTATAGTTGGAGGAAGCACGTAAGAAACTTGAAGATTACGAAAAAGTGAGCAAAGTACATAGGAACTTGTCGGCAGACAACGTAGAATTAGAACGTGAATTGGCGGCAATGAATTCTCGACTCGAGCAGGCTGACAAGGCGAGAAAATCAGAACTCGCAGACACTAAAATGAGATACGAGGGACAAATGAATACGATGCGCGAGGAACTGAAGTCATTACACAATCAGGTAAAAAAACAAAATTATTTGCTTAGGCATTCGTTCATAATTATAATACGAACCCCAAGCTCTAATATTAAGAGCTATAGTATATGGTTAAACGATTTATAAATCCTACAACCCGGCTCGAAGTAACCAAAAAAATAATGGGTCAGCAAGCGGGAGCGAAGTAACTAAAATTAATGGACTGTATAAGCGGTGATCTTAGGAACCAAAACAAAATGTTGGACACGGCAGTGCGGGTGAACTATATACTTTAGATCATATACCTTGTGTAAAATTAACTTGACGACTCGATGAGCTAAGTTGACACTAAATTTATTCACAATAGAACAGTTCTGATTTCTTCTCCATAAAGTCATGTGCACCAAACAAACTTCCAACGATAAAATAATTTTAAGACAACAATTACACGATAATGGTCGTGAGCGTGCTTTCCAATTTCGCCCTCTTCCTTCTAGCAGCGAGCTACACCAACTGGGGTGTCCTTCCTAGCGGTTATGTCTAGCGGTCAGACGGCTGGTCAGCAAGCGGGTCTATGCCAACCTAGTTATGTGCCGGAAAGGGAGAAATAGGGAATGTTGTGTCAGCCAAAATAACTAATAAAAAACATCATGCGCGTTGGCGCAACCAGTATAAACGCTTTTTCTGCGTTTATTTCTTTATACGCATTTGGTTTTTCTGCGTATATGAAACATTTATTTGAGTTTCAAAAATTGATACTCTATTAATTTTTCAATATCGCGTCGGATCACAAGAAATCATTCAGTGTATCTGGGGGCACGGCAGTGCCCCCGCCAAGTTGAGAAAAAAAGCGGCACGGCCGTACCATCCTTTTCTCGAAGCAGTTTAGGCCATTTCCGACCCCTTATAACTTCATTGTGGATAAAAGTAGAAGCCTGAATTCAGTAACCAAGCATGCATTGTATAAATACGGTATAGTTCTAATTTCATTCAATTTGAACCAGTAGTTTAAGAATTATAACTAGTCAAAGTTTCTTAATTTTGTCACTCACTGACAGACCGATCATCAAAAATCTAAAGCACTTCTAGCAGACGTAGAAGCTTCAAATTTAGAGTAAAATTAGTGTTTAGTGTATAAATCAAGAAAAAATTTAAATATTTTGTAATTTCGGTCTAGTTTTCTGAGTACACCAACTGCAAATATAACTTTGTAATCTTATATAAATAACACACGCGCTAAACAATCTAATTTAATATAATATGTATTACTTGTGAGATACATTGTGTTTTCATGCGATGGCCAAGTCAATCTATTTATTTAAAACGTAAAATATTTTTAATATTGATATGGTCACTATAAGATGTTGTTAGGTTAGTTAATTACATAATAACTTGAGACAGAAGGATCCTTAAGTAGGGACTGAATAAATTAACCGACTTGGTATTACATGGATCTCACAACTTTTTACGGAAGGAGAACTGAGTTACGAGACTTGGTTTTTTTTTATAAGTTATGTTTTTGATCGCATAAATATGACGCCTACAAATTCATAAGTTTATTATTTATTAAACATATTTTAATAGGTATCTCGGTTCAGAAGAGAACGCGATAACTACAAACAAATGTTAGAAGCGGCTCAAAAAACAATGGAAGAATTAAAAACAAGTGGTAAAAGGACACAAAGGGCGTCCATATCAAGTACCGACGAGGTTTGTAAATCTATATTAATATCATAATTTTAAGGATGTATTTAAAATACTTATATATCTCCAAATTAACTACATTCGCTAAAAATTTGGCTAGCTGGAACAAAATCTAGATAGGTCGCCATTTTATTTTGTATGATATGTATTATACCTTTCTAATCACTTTGATTATTTGTGTGATTGATGTCCAAATACTATAACGGTACTCATTTTAAGATGCCCTTAAGTGTCGTGCTGTCTCTATCACTTTAAGACAAAGTGACTGTGACACCATGAGACATGACGACATCTTAAAAGTGAGTAGTGTTTGAGTATTTGGCCATTAAAGTGACTAAAATTGTAATACATCTTCAATAATTGATGTAAGCTTAGTATTAGCTTAAGAGCCGTGGTAGCTCAAGGGCTCAGCGCTCCCTGTAAATTTCACAGTACGCGAGCAACCCGGGTTCGATCACCGCCAGCACCAATGAAATTGTTAACTGCAATTTTAAGTGCTGATTTACCACGTGTTCGGTGGTGAAAGAAAACGTCGTAAGGAAGCCTGCATGTCTGTGGAATAAAAAAAGTATTTTGATGATATGTGAAGTCCGCCAACATGCATTGGGACATCGCGGCGGACACTTCCATGCCCTAAAGCCCTTTCAGAAGTCAGAGGCTTGTGCCCAGCAGTAGGACGTGTATAGGCTGTAAATTTAATTTTACTTTACTTCATTGTAGTATTCAACCGTCTCCACTTTTGTAATGATTGACAAAATTAAAGAATTGTAAATATTTGTTTCATAGATATTAACTTATGTACCGAAGATCCCCAGATATGTGGCTATTTATGACAATTTTTGTTATTTAACTCTGTGTGTCTCACTATTTGACCATCTTTTTAGGAAGAGTACAAAAACAAAGTGGCAGTTCTAGAACAACAAATGGCTTGTCTTGAAGATGAACTATGCGAGGCCCGATTGTTATCATCAAAGCTCAACACCGAACTTGTTAGTGAGCGATCACAAGCAGAGGTTCGTCTAGCAGAAATGCAATCCAGGCTCAACGAAGTAAGTTTCTACTGACCTTTACAAAGTATTTTAAAGATATATCATTATAACGAAAAACGAATTTATAGCTTTTTAACATTCTATTTAAATAAATAATGGAAATACGTATGAACTAGATTCTTAATTCTGAAAATTTATAAAAACTATAGATATACTAGATATATAGTTTTTATAAATTTTCACTTTCGTTAATTATAAAAACTAAAAACATGTGATTATCCAGTTATTAATAATACTTTCATTAACCAATGTTTGATAGGTACATTTTTTTTTGCAAACAAAGCGAACATAATGATATAAGTTATTCTATGATCACGTTCAGTTAATTTGATTTTTCATATATCCTGTATGATACCAGAATCACGTTATACTTCTTGGTACGACCAGAGATGACTTTTTACACGTAATAAGTATCATGTAAGTATTTGAATCTATAACTCGTTAAGAGGATTCCCTGGAGGCGTTTAGTCTCTATAAACGTTTTCCTCTGTTTTCTTTCTTTATAATGACACTAAATCAAAGAATTTTTCACGATACAATTTATATCTGCCACTGCTATGTTCCTATGTTTTACTTTTCTGTGGGTTAATCAATTGTTTTAAAAACTAGGAAACTTTTAACATTACTAAGACTAACTACCGTTATGAAAAATCTGGCAAATAAATTTAACGAACCTAATAAAAAAACATACAGACATAACCAAATACTTTTATTGTGCCTACTTCTAGGTACCTATAATCACTCCGAGTTGTGGTTGTTTCCCGTGGTTGTCCAGCTCCGTCATTCGGGTACAGATAGATGATTCAAAACCTATTACTCAAATTTCATGCGAAATTTAAGAAACGACGGACAGAGAATTCCTTTACATTTGTTTCTTTGTCTCTTTCTTTGGTCACGCATTGCGTTAAAATAAATGAACCATTTTTGGATTTGTGCGACTATTAACCGTATTAAAGAAATAATCGCTAAGCGTTATTATTAAAGTTCAAATTAACTATTTCCACAAAGCCGTAATAAAAAATAATAATGCACTGCTTCTTCATTGTGCAAAATCTAGCACTTTCGTAGTTATATTGGAAAACATGTTGAAAACATATTTTTATTTCTTTGATGCATTAACCTATAGTCTATAGTAAGTCAATAATTTGATGTAAGAAATTTTGTTTTTCAAACGTATATTTTTTACTCAGACGGTAGTTTCCATTTTATGTGGTCTCCGTGACCAGAAAAGAAAGGGCCAATAAATACGAATACGCTTGGCGCATATGTTCTTAATCTAATGCTCTTTGGGTAGCTAGAAAGTACTTACTCAAAGGTTGTCGCTGAGAATGTAATCGATCGGGAGAAAATCATCATTACTGCCCTTAAATTGTCATTAATGTTTCTGGCAAAATAATAAATTACAATTTATTTTTAAATTTTCGTACCAATAATTAATGTCTTCTGCATTTTCAGTACGAGGAAGAACGGCTAATGTCGTCAGGAAGGGCGCGGGTAGCTGGTTTGGCGACGAGAATGGAGCTAGCGTGGCACAAGGAGCGCGACGAACAGCAACGTCTACTGCAGGAGACTTCTACACTCGCCCGCGATTTGCGCCAGACACTTTTCGAGGTAACACTCCGCACCACACACACACACACCAAACTTGGTACCTGAACCTTGTGACAAAATTATAATTAACGTGACCTTTTACTACAGGTTGAGCGTGAAAGAGATAAGGAGAGGCTGGATATGAAGAGAAGAATAGAACAATTGAAGCGAACGACAGAAGAAGAGATTGAAGAGGCCAAGAAAAAGGTACAATTCTTTCATTAACTTATCTAACCTTTACCCATTTGATAGCATAATATAGATCCCATTATGTAAATACAACAAACCACTAATACTTAGGTTTTACGGTTGTTATGAGGACTAAAGGAGACCAAATTCTAAAATGTATTACGAGATTATGTGACTGAGGACTACTATATTTAAATAAATAAAATGCAAAATGCTTACATGTATCTAATAACTAGTTTCGAATCCAGCGCTTATTTAAAATACATGCTCGTTGGTTTTAAAGTCGGCAACTTAGGCCTTCCACCTATCAATGCAGAACAGCTCAATAGACTTACGTTACCTATGTGTAGCAAAATTAAACATGGTAGAACCATGCCGCAGCTATATTAGTAGTATAGTTGTAGCACGAATGGGTCGGCTCGACCGTGGAAGGACCGCGCTCTCACAGAATACCAGCGTAAAATAACAGCTTAACACTGCTATGTTTCGTATGGTGAGTGTAGAGAACCGGAGACCCTTTTTACTGGAAAAGAGGCATTCCATCTTAGTCCTCACGGGTGACAACGCATCTGCATTTTGATTATTTATTGTTTGCTGTGAGCCATAGACATCTACATCTAGATGTCTATGGCTCAAAGCAAACACTTACTATTAGTCGGACTGTGTGCTCGTTTGTCACCCTATCCAAAAGAAAAACGGATTTACAGTGGATTATTTTAATAATTTGGTGACACGTGTGAGCCATCAATGTCATGTGGCACGTTTACGTGTGTCCCAGCTCAGTGGGTTTATGAACAGCATAACTACAGTACTGTTAACGATGCACTACAGAAACAAGATAAGAACTTGGGCCAGTGAAATTATATATTAATTTGATCAACGTGTTACGCTTAAATCTTTCATAATAGGTTTCTTTGACTGATTCGTTGGTCTTGTGGTCGTAAACGCAATTGCAGATCATGTGGGTTCAATTCCCGGGTCGGCCAAAATCAGTTATTGGTTCACATAATTATTTCTTTTATTAACGCGAATACTACACATGGAATAAAACTACTGGTGGTGGAGGACTATTCCCCCCTCCCCCGTGACCATGGGTGCTGTGGAAAGCGCCCGAAAGGTCGCGATAAAATCAGTAAAATTAGTTTTACTCCATCAGTAATTGAGTTTATCTGTCAAGAAATTCTCAGTGGATTCTTCAGCCCGGAGTCAGTAAGTTGGCGCGGTCGGTCTTGCAACTGAGAGAGATCTATCCGGTCGTGTCGGATCACCGTCCCGCGTGTCTCGAGTTTGCACTCGGGTACTATAATCATGTCCTGCGCTAATGGAGGACTCATTCTATTATTATTATTAATATGTTTGTAACTACAAAGGTGACAGAGCTACAGTGCGATCTTCTTGAGTTGCGCGATGCGCACGCGAAGCTTCGCACGGCCAACGAGAAGCTGCGCCGCGACAAGGAGCGCCACGACCGCGACCGCGACCAGAACAAACTTCTAGTCGCATCGCTTAAACGCGCGCAACAGGTGATTACCGCTTGTTTCATATTTATCTAACTTTATCCATGCATCCATCCATTACAGCCTATAAAAGTCCACTGCTAAACAAAGGCCCACCCAATGATTGCCTCATAAAGGGATATTTGCCATGGTTGGCACACTCGGCAGACGGGTTGACAACAGTTTTATTTTATCTGCCGACTTCCAAAAAGGAAACGGTACTCAATTCGACTGTATGTTTTTTTTATGTGTGTTACCTCATAACTTCTTACTGGGTGAACCGATTTGGATGATTCTTTTTTTATTTGAAAGCTGGCCTACCTCTCGTGTGGTCCCATATGAATTCATCAAGGTCAGACTAATAGTTTTTGAGTTATTCTTAATAACTTATATTGAAGTGGGCTGTACAAAATATTTAATTTTAAATTATTTACTAGTTGTTAATAGGAAGATGTTACAGTCCATCTCCTAGTTTTCCCTTGTCGCCTCATAAGGCCATCAAGGGACGATATGGGATAGCGGATACTCTAATATCGACACTGTTCGGTCAAATGGGGATAATTATTGTGAAGCTGTAAGAGCCGCGTAGGCTAACAGCGCCAACATCACGAAAATAGATAACAAAAGAAAACATTTTACTAATTCAATTAACACATTATCCAAAATTCAACTCATTTTTGCCGTAACAGGAAGACGATAGAGTCATAAACCAACTGCTGGAAACAATTGAGGACCTTATGAAGCAAAGTCCCGACTTATTCCGCAGCGAGCCGTCCACCAAACCAGAGAAAACACTTATGACTCCGACACCTCCCAGGCGTAACAGAGTAAGTACCTAGCTGTATGTATACGAGTAATTGTTGTTTAATGCTCAAAGTACATTCCATAATAATCTTTCTTTTTCTACTGACTTAAAAAACGACCTCATAACTTTTTACTGGGTGAACCGATTTCGATGATTCTTTTTTATTTGAAAGCTGGTGCTTCACATGTGGTCCCATATAAATTTGACCAAGGTCTGATAAATAGTTTTTGAGTTATTCTTAATAATTTATATTGAAGTCGGTTGTACAATTTTAATTTTAAATTATTAGATATCATTGCAATCCATCACAAGTCAATGTTAAGCACGGGCCCCCCATAGATTGCCACAAAGCAAAGCCATTATTCATGGCCTTCAAGCCATCATTTATATATTACCTGCATCATAAAGTCATCATCATTTTGTAGAGGATCACCCTCTAAACCTACGGTGTACTACAGAACAGACAGATTTCCGGAGTGGTCACATATAAATTTTATAAAATTCCACCCCTAGGGTGTAAAAATAGAGTAGATATGAAGTTTGTAATGTAAATATTTAGATGCCATCAAAAACATAACTTGTAAAAAAACAAACTAAGTCTCGCAACTCAGTTCTACCGTAAAAAGGTGTGAGATCCATGTAATACCAAGTCGGTTAATTTATTCAGTCCCTACTTAAGGGTCCTTCAGTCTCTAGTTATTACGTAATTAGCTAACCTAACAACATCTTATAGTGACCATATCAATATTAAATATCTTTTATGTTTTAAAGAAATAGATTGACTTGGTCATCGCATGAAAACACAATGTATCTCAAAAGTAATACATATTAAGTATATTAAATTAGATTGTTTAGTGATTTTTATTATTTGTGCAGTGCGGCCGTATCTTATGATAGTTAATGCAACTCTGGTGGCAGGACATTATTGTATAATAGGAGTCTATTATTATCTCTTTAAGCGAGTGCGGTTATTATAAATACGATTTTTGTTATTTAGGCCTTATTAGCCGACAGGCCTTATTACTCGTAGGCACCTTACTGGTTCTCTATAGACCGGGATACAGCAGAGTACGGCGGCATAAATAAGAGGTAGGTACTTACCCAGACGGAGTTCGAAGCAAAAAGAGTCCTACCATTAGATTTATTTTTTATAGAATAAGGGTAACAAACGAGCACACAGTCCACCTGATGGTAAGTGAATACATCTATTTACATTTATCCTGCATTAAAAATCAAAATGCAGATGCGTTTTTACCCCTGAGGACTAAACTGGTAGCCCTACAGTAAAAAGATAATACGAGATAAGATAACACATCAGCATTGCGCTGCTATTTTACGCTGGTATTCTGTGAGAGCGTGGTCCTTCCCCGGTCGAGCCGAGCTATTCGTGTTACAACTATAATATAGCTGCGGTATGGCTCGACTACGTTGAAAAGGTGGTAAATGTTGGGACGTTGCGCAGTCATCGAAGTCGCGGTCGCGTTCGGCGACGCCCGAGAGCGCGGAGGCGAGCAGCGCGGCGAGCGCGGCGGCCACCGCGGCGCGCCTGCGCCGCCTCACCCACGAGCTGCGCGCCTCGCGCATCGCCGAGCGCACGCGCCGCCAGCAGGCCGCCGGGGTGCGACGGTAATCAATTCATTCATTTGTCACACACACACACACACAAACCCAATGCATAATACAAAAAAATAAAAGTACAAATCTAACAAAAACTATTCTACATTTAAGGTTGTCACTTGATAAAGATGATAACTAGAGATAGACCCAACATGGGATTCACCGCATCACACACTATACGAATACTCAGCAAAACTTATACTAAGCCGAATATTCGGCATACAGTTGATTACCATACCTAAACAGTTAAGGTATTTTCTACCGACTTCAAAAATGAGACGGTACTCAATTCGACTGGTTTTTTTTAAGTATGTTACCTCATAACTTTTTACTGGTTGAACTGATTTCGATGATTCCATTTTTATTTGAAAGCTGGTGCTTCACATGTGGTCCCATATAAAATTGAACAAGGTCTGACCAATAGTTTTTAAGTTATTCTTAATAGTTTATATTGAAGTTTCATGTACAAAATTTTTAATTTTAAATTTACGTGTAAAGTTTGTAAGAAAAGCTGCACTAAGTAGCTAGAAATATGATTAAAATCTGTTGAAATGTTGTAATTCCATTAAGCAACTCAAGTAAATATTGATTAAAACACAAAAAAATTGCTACATTCATCGAACCCAGGTTGCTTGCGTACTGCGAAATTTACAGCGACCGCTTGGCCCTTACTCACCAACGTAATCATGTAGATGATTCGCTGATCTCTTGTTCCTGTTGTTCTATGAGACACCGTAACTGATTCTAAATCAATGCCATTTAAAAAAGCTACACTCATCTGTTGATTTGTTTTGAAACTTAAATCATCCAATGTTGACAGAGGTATGACTGGAGAGCCGCGGGATGCGATGTCAGTGACTCCAGCCACACGAACTCCTTCACGGACATCCTCTCTCAAAAAACGCTCTATATCTCTCGAACAGACTACGAAAGAACAGGTATTTACACCACCCTTCTTATCACTTCGGTCATTATACCTCATGATTATATAAGTCAGATATGTAAGAAAATATAAACAGATATAATAATTTAAGAAAAAATGTAAATAGCTAATTAATAATTTCACGCAAATTAGTAATTTAAATTATTATTTTAAACTCCTGTTTTTTGTTGATGTTTTCGATTTCAATTTCAGAGCACCATATGGATGTCGGTGGATGAGGGTAGCGTATCATCTATGCAATCTTTAGATGGGGATCCAGATTCACGTCATTTCACGTTGCCTCGAGACTCCAGTCTCGATAGGTAAATAAATTTTTCATAAGCTTTTCATAATCTAGTTTCGTGAATTTTACCTTACCTCTAAAACTTTACTCTTTCATTAAACTTCGACGAAAACAGAGGGGTGTTATAAGTTTATAGTGTGTATCTGTGTCTGTCTATGGCATAGTGGCATCATAACTCCTAAATGGATGAACCGATTTTCATAAAGTTTTCTTTCATTTGAAAGGTGTCTTAATCCAAAGTGTTGTTAGCTTTGTTTCAAGAAAATCTGTTCAGCCGATTGAAAATCATCAACTTTTTTTTCGGGTTTTTTAAATTTTTAATTTATATACTTTTTTTAAATATCATTTAATTAATGTAATTACAGTCGTCTATCGGGCGGTTCCGCACAGAGCGATGTATTGCCAACGGAAAAAAAGAAAAAGAAAAGCATCTTCGGAAAATTAAAGAAACTAACAAAATCTCGTTCCGTAGACGACCACGTCGAGAACGCAGAGGTTGTGGACTTTAGATCCATTGGCACTGTATCACAGGTTATATTTTGTAGTAATATTAATTAATATATTTCTATTTTTGAGTATGTTATAATAATATAGTATTTAATTTTAGGGTTCCGACTCAGACATGAGCGCAGCAGGAAGCAAACGAGATTTACGGGGCCGAATATCAGATATGTTTAGTAGAAAAGGACAAGTATCCCGCGCTAGCAGGTGCGTGATATGATTCACTACTTAAAACCTTTGCGTTGACTTAGCTTTTTAATTTTATATTTACTACAACTTTCTTACGACTAATAATAATAATACTAATACTAATTGCTAAAACGGTAGCTTTACCTCCTATCTTTTTTAATAGTACTGAGATCCAACTGTGTTCTACTGTGAAGGATCTAGGTTTATTAATTGATTCTACCTTGAGTTGGAAAGACCAAGCAACGACCGTTAGCCAGAAAGTTACCGGTACCCTGCGTTCTCTCTATCGCCTAAAAAATTTTCTGCCATCTGCAATCAAAGCAATGCTTGTGCAAAGCTTAATTTTCCCCCTAATCGACTATGGTGATGTGTGTTATTTCGACCTGAATGCAGATCTTCTCAATAAATATGACCGCCTTCTGAATAACTGCATTAGATTCATTTTTAATCTTCGAAAGTATGACCATGTATCCACGTATCGATCTCAATTAAAATGGTTACCTATTCGTCAACGCCGTAGTTTGCGTGCACTCATTACCCTTTATTCTATCCTGATGTCTCCAACTTCCTGTTCCTACTTATCTCCTTACTTTCAGTTGCTTAGCGCTAGTCATGAGAGAAACCTCCGCTCTACGAACAACCTTCTTCTCCTATGTCCCTCCCATAGCTCTGGACTTGTTCATTCTTCTTTCCACATTCAATCTATTCTCCTTTGGAACGCACTACCTCTCGAAATCAGGACGGCTAGCACGCGTTCAAGATGAAGGTTCGGGAATACTTAACTAATAAATTGGCAGATTCATCATAGTAATAGTTTATATATATTTTATATATAAATATATATATTTTATTTGATTATGTCTATAATTGTATATCTTCATGAGTTTACATACATCTGACGTTTTAATATGTACTTAAGTAATATACATTTTTATTATCTTATTATTTTTAAAATAATTATTTAAAATTATATTTTTATTACCATTTATATCTTATGTATTTTATTTCGATGTGCTACAATTTTTTTTGTTATTTTAGTTTAGTATTAACATATTACCTTTTTATTACACCTACTTCATTATATCTCTGCATCATCCCAAGGTAGACTGGTAGAGAATGCCTTAGGCATTAAGTCCGTCTATATACCACATGTGTATATGAAGTTTTAAATAAATAAATAATTTCTTTTAAAGATGTTAAAATTAATTAGCGAAATAAAATTAGCCCGTAAAAATGAAATTGGTGTAATTTGTCTTTTATCTTACCCAATTAATTTTTACTTTTGATATAATAAAAAACGCCGTATTCTATTAATTTACAATGATTTTAGCAGACTTCCAAAAAAGTAGGTTTACAATTCGACTGACGCGATATCTTCGTCAATTGTTAACAGATTTTGAAGATTCTTTTTTTATGAAATAGGAATAATTCAGGAGTGTTCCATATAATTGGATTATATTATGATAAATATAATTTGGAGAAAATAATTCACCCCTAAGGGTGGCAAAACTTAGGGCATAAAGATTTTAGTGTTATTTAGACGACATTGAGATTGTGATATATAAATTGTACAAAGCGACTTCAAGGGACTAAAAAAATAGAAGAATTTCACACTCTGAATGTAAAATTCTTCTATACACCTTTATACGTAGGTCAAAAAATAAGTTTTGAGATGCTCTAAATTTAAGAACGGAAACACCCGTGTTATATGTATCTACAAAGAGAATTTATTTAAAAATAGAACTCCATTAGCCAATTGCTCGATATTAAAAAAAAGTTCTATTAACTTTCCTGCAACGCTTCCCGCGCTTTTATTTAAAACGATGGATCTTAACCGTGAAACATTTGCGCACTATGATATATTATGATTTTAAATTTGGTTTAACCGAACAATTAAGTTTACAACGGTTATAATCAGCATTCTCGCGCCTCAGCTTCATCACGCGCAACAATAGATGGTTTGCTGAATTCAAAAGGGGTAAAATTAATCTTAAAGATGACCAAAGAACCGGGGTCCCGCAAACAGCAGTAACGGCAGAAAATGTATGGACTACTGAAATGTTGGTGCGAGAAGACCCACGAATCACATATACGGACATCGAAAAGATTGCAGGCATTAGTTCGGGGAGCATTCATACCATCCTACATCAACATCTTGGAGTGAGGAAGCTTTGTTGTCGATGGATCCCTCGTTTGCTCTCCGAAAGCAAAAAACAAACTCGTGTGGATTGGTGCCATGAAATTCGTCTCAGTTTTGAAAACGGGGCATCTAGGCGTGTTTCAGAAATCGTTAATGGTGACGAGACATGGTCTATCAATATGATCCGGAAAATAAAAGGCAATCATCGGTATGGGTCTACGAGGGCGGCACTGAAAATTTCGGGAATCAAGGAAGTGACACAACATTACTATTTAAAAATGTATTTATTGCTTTTCGAAGTATTCTCCACTTAATTTGACACATTTTTCCATACGATGGAACCAATCATTGAAGCAACCATTCCATTCGGAAGTTGGGGTCTCCAAAATGGCCGTTTTGTAGGCGTCCACAGCTTCTTCAGGTGATGAAAATCTCTGTCCACGCAATTTATTCTTTATTTTAGGGAAAGTATAGAAATCATTAGGGCTTAGGTCGGGGCTGTACGGCGGATGGTCTAATAATTCTATGTTTTCTTGCTCTAAAAACTCTTTTATTCTGTGTGCGGTGTGAGAACTCGCATTGTCGTGATGGAGGATGATGCGGCGGTTGCAGTTCTCTTTACGGAGTTCAGAAACGACCTGTGGCAAACAAATGCTAGCATACCATTCTGCATTAACCGTTCTTTGTTCCTCAAGAGGAATAGTCGTAACATGGCCGGTTTTGGAGACAAACGTGGCCACCATTTTTTTTGCAACACTCCATGAACGAACAATTTTTGTTGGCTTTAACTCATTTTCGAACACCCAAACTCGTGACTGGTTATTTGTTTCGGGTTCGTACGCGTATATCCAGGATTCGTCACCTGATACGATGTTGTATACAGCATTTGAGGATCCTGCGTGGAATCTTTCGAGACTTCTGACGCACCAAGTAACGCGAGCCGCTTTTTGCTCTTCACAGAGCGAATGCGGTATCCATCGGGAAAACAACTTTTTTACACTTAATTGTTCATGCAAGATTATTTGTATTTGACACATGCCAATGTCTAAAGTTGCCTGAATTTCGCGGTATGTCACTTGTCGATCTTCCTCAATCAGCTTACGCACAGCATCAACGTTTTCTTGGGTGACTGCAGTTTTTGGACGACCTTGACGGGGATCATCACTGAACTTGACACGTCCACGTTGAAATTCAGCAAACCAGCGATAAATTGTGGTTTTGGATGGGGCTTCATTACCAAATGCAGAAATCATCCGGTCAACACACTGTTTTTGTGTTAAACCACTTCGAAAGTCATAATAAATCATCGCTCTTGAATTTTCTCGAGTCAATTCCATTTTTTCAATGACTAAACAAATTTGACAAACCTTGTGACAAGACCGAGAATCTTTTTTTAAATAAATAAATGGTATTCAATTTTAAAAAACCAAGGACTTTTCAATTAAAAAGATTTTAATATGACAGGAACAGTGGAAATATTCCATTCCCGATACTTTTAGTGCAGCCTATGTACTTAGAAGGACAGTTACCCACAAAACTGCTAAAACCTCGCAATGTCGGCAAAAAATAGTATTTCGCGGAGCGGACATTTGTCGACGTCAATGCTGGAAAATTGTAGGTCAGTCAGCTCTGAATGGTATACTACAGTTGCATTACCCAAAGCTTTTCAAGCTGTGCGGGACAGAAGACCAAAGACCGGGCTTCGGGGATTCATGCTGCATCACGATAACGCCGCTACACATACCTCCCTTAGAACAAAAGCATTTATTGAGGAATCTGGTGTTGAAACTTTAAGTCACCAACCCTACAGACCTGACTTAGCTCCTTGTGATTTCTTTCTGTCCCCAAGAATCAAAGAAAAAATAAAAGGCAAGTTTTTTTCAAGCGCCGAAGAAGCCGTGGCTGCCTACGAAAAAGCGATTTCCGACCTGTCAGATCAAGATTGGCAAAAGTATTTTCAGAGTTGGTTTAGGCGAATGGAACTTTGTATAGAGCATGATGGAGAATATTTTGAAAAGATGTAAAATAAATATTAATAGTATCTAGAATACTTTTTTTTAATAATAATAATAATAATTCCTTTATTTCAGACCTTGATCCATAATTTGTTAGTAATATATTATACACCTTAAATACTAATGTTAGTTTCTTAAATATGTAAAATTACTTTTTAATATACTATTCCAGTGACTTAGCATATGCCCGTCACTTAACTTATTGAGTGACCTACGTATCTATAGTGCCTTAGCACAGACTTCAGAAAATTAAAAAAAGAAATTATTATATTCACGAACAAGTCGGTTTTTAATTTTTATTAAACGTATTTTTTGAATTTTAACACGCTAATTGGGGCTTATATTCTTACGCTCAACAGATGTCGCTAATTTTGACTAAGGTGAATTAATTTGTTACCCAGATGGTCACACAGTGTCGTCATCATTGGAAAGTTGCGTTTTAAATAAGTTTTTCGGTTTCTAGTGTATGTTTGTACACAAAATAATAACTCAGTGTTGTTTTCTGTAATTTTTACACACTTTAAACTTTTTTGAATTCTTCTAAAACTAATATTTCAGAAAGAAACTTAAACGTCTACATTTTTCTAACAAATTAACTTCACCCGCAATGAAATGTCAAATATTTCATCTAATTCCAAAGTGGCGCCGCCCTGTTGGCAGATAAGTCATGGATATATTTTTATGAAATATTTTTATAGCAAGGAGCAGAGTCCGGAGCGCGGCGGGTCGGCCGCCAGCACGGGCAGCACGGTGCGCGCCGCCCCCACCCCCGCCACACCGGTAATGTTACCTTGCCTTAATTATCTATGAGCTAACTCCCGAAAGTGATGAAAGTGAACCATATTTATTAGCATTTTGTCATGAGTTCTATCGTCCTTTTTTAACCGACTTCAAAAAGCAGGAGGTACTCAACTCGACAGTATGTTTTTTTATTTATTTATGTTACCTCATAACTTTTTTCTCGGTGAACCGATTTCGATTATTCTTTTTTTATTTGAAAGCTGGTGTTTCTCATGTGATCCCATACAAATTTGATCAAAGTCTGACAAGTAGCTTTTGATAATTTATATTGAAGTCAGTATAACAAAGAACAATGGCAGAAAAATAGTTGGCAAAAATTATTGCGTCTTGAAATAAGTTATAAAATGACTTAAATCATTTTACTCTATTCATGTGTTGCTATTTACTATATTCATATTATTTACGTATAACTTTGTAAGACTACCAACACAACACAAACACAAAATATTTTTATATTAAGTTATTATTAGTAATGATGAAAATAAGTCTCTTACAAAGAACTTCCTACAATAATACATTATATCTATCATAGTACTTGGCAACAATTCCATTTAATGTTTTTTTTTATAGGATAGGGTGACAAACGACCCATACATGACCCATAGACATCTACATCTATCCTCAATAAAGACTCAAGATGCAGATGCGTTGTCACCCGTGAGGACTAAGATGGAATGCCTCTTTGCCAGTAGAAAGGGTCTCCGGTTCTCTACACTCACCATACGAAACACAGCAGCGTTAAGCTGCTATTTTACGCTGGTTTTCTGTGAGAGCGTGGTCCTTTCCCGGTCGAGCCGACCCATTCGTGCTACAACTATACTACTTATATAGGCGCAGCATGGCTCTACCACGTTTAACACTAGCTAAAACAAAATGTCACTGTTTTTTTACTGGCTTTACGGTTCTGGGTTCTAACCCTTCTGAGAATGTTACTGTATGACACAAAGGCCCTGGAGCCATGCCAGAAATATACATCTATAGTATGCAAATATATAATAGAAATAGAATAATTTAAAAACTCTCAACTATGTAGGTAGGTACATTATGTTGAGAATATATTAAGCTAACATCAAATAACCACAGGACGCATGACTTTTTCTAAGTGACAAGACATAACCTAAAAAGGTTCAAATCTAAATATCTTTTTTTGACGCCTTCTCAGGACAAAATTCTTTGACAGAGTTATTAAGGGACTGACGCTTAACATTTTAAGATAGTTTTGATATATAGACGCTACCATTCCTTCTCAACTACTTTTATGTATGAAAGTCTGCCATTGTTCTTTTTTAATTTTAACCACTTGTTTTATTTACCTTAACCGTTACAGTCTTTATTCACTGCTGAACAAAGACCCCCGAAGATTATCTCATAGGGTTTTTTCTCATAGTTATTCCTCATTTACCACAGTTGCCACGCTTAGCAGGCGGGTTGGCAACAGCAGTTTTTTACATTTTTTTTATTATTAGGAGGACGCTGCTGCTCATCTTTTTTTTGTTTTTGTATATCGCCTCTTACGACGGGACGATTATAGCGCAGTAATTCTTACATCGCCACTACTCGGACAATCCTTTCTTTAAATTCACTGGAAATAGGCATTTCAAAAATACGCACAAATCTTAAAAGAAGTACCCACACTGGCTAAAATGTAGCTTTCTTGTCTATGACGCTATTTTAATAACAACTTTTATTACAGAAAGAAACACGCGGTCCGCGGGCGTCAAGCGCAACACCGGGCACCAAAAGGAAAGGGAAATAAGTGACGATCTTGTTTCACTTCATTATATTATTGTATTTATAAAGTCCCTTACGATTTTTCCACATAGCGTGTAATATCACAATACATATCAGTAAAATTTCGTTACTTTCACATGTTGACGCATTATCCATAGTGTTTGTATTTGGGCCTACTCATATGTAAAACAAAAGATTCAGCACAATATCCTCATGCAAAATTTACTATAAATAAAAATGTCTCATCATCACCAACAGTGACTGTGTTGGATGTATTTTAAACTAGTCCTCAAAGTGAATGTAACGAAAAGCTGTAAATTAAGCATTAGCCCAATAGCTACAATGTTATATTAATGAGTGTACAAGTGACCCTTGAGATATTCACCTCCTTAATTCTTAAGCCAGGAACGTTTTTATGTCGCATATATTAGTGAATTGTTGTTTGTAGTTTATTGCAATTTTATAATAAAATTTGAACAAATACATCGAAGTTTACTTTAATTTATATCTTACTCATCAAAAACAGATACAAAAGCATTCAGTAGCGCAACAATTTAGCAGTTTCGTACTTCTATATATTATTCAATGAAAGGCCTGTTTACACGAATCTGAACATCAGCGCTGCAAATATGCAAAACTAAATTGTTTATAAAAATTATAGGTGCCGCATACACATTTGCAACAAGCTTTCATATAAAATGAGATATTAATATTATATATATTATTATAGACAATGAAATGAAAATGAGTTGTTCACAGGATGTCTATTTTGAAACATTTTTACAATAAAATTAGGTGAAAATTTTATTTTACGAACCAAACAGAAACAAAAATATATTTATGAAATATTATGAAGATATAAACTAGATGTGACGCGGCTAACTCTGATCCATGAGGTTTGTATCGACGGAGCCGCCTGACGAGTCCTTTAAAATAGATTCGAATATTGGCTGCAGTTCTGGTAGGGACTTAATTTGCGTAACGAAGTCCATCAAATGTGGATTCTTATCTGTAAAAAGAAATGAAACAAAAATATAATAAAAATTATTATCATTAATGGTAATTTGGAACGATAAAGGACATTGGAACAGGGGATTAGGCTCGCCACCCGTCTCGATCTGAGCCCTGGAGTAGCGAGAAATGGATGATATATATTAAAGATGGGCCAATTTAAGAGTACCCTTATCCGATGAACACGTATACGTAGGTATATGGATGTGAAAGAAGGACGAGGTGTGTCGAGATCGTTCCAACTGGAAGTCCGTAGTCTCTGTCTACCTCTCTGGTAACAGGCGTGAGAGTTTATGTACGTATATAGTAAATTAAAAATGCATTTGCATTTTATTTTTATACCAACTTCTTTCAAGTATTAGAGCAACATTTGTTGGTGAACTGAATAAATTTAAAAAAAAAAACCTGGAAAATACCGCTAAATCCAGTAATAAAGAAAACCTACGCAACATTGATATATTTATTGCATAAGCTAGGCATTAATGGTACTTTGATGACAAATAATTTTTTATTCAATATTAATTAGCTTAACACTAGTAACACCACCTGCTATTGGTTTGCCCGCTTCCGTTTTGTTCGTTCAAATTTCGAAATGAACCCCGTGGTCGCTGAATTAGCTGCAGCTTCCGACGTTAGAATCAAAAAATTATTGGTCTATTTGCGTCAAATTGGCAAGGTAGGAAACCTTTACGTGGTAGAGCCATGCTGCAGCTATATTACTAGTATAGTTGTAGCACGAATGGGTCGGCTCAACTGGGGAACCGGGGGACGTGCCTTGCACTGCTTACCAACAGGCACACAAACAAAAACCAAGGAATTTTGAGTCGCATTGTTACCTGCGACGAAAAATGGATTCTGTTTGACAATCGCAAGTTGCGCTCAGCAAGTTTGTTAGATTCTGGTCCAGCACCTAAACAATGCCCTAAACGAAAACTTACCCCTAGAAAAGTGATGGTCACTGTTTCGTGGTCTAACGCTAGTGTGAATCATCACAGCTTTTTACCAAACGGGATGAGCATTACTGCAGATGTGTAGTGAGAAGAGCTGAACACAATGATGGAGAAGCTCGCACGTTTCCAACCAGTTTTGGTCAATTGCTCGTTCCCGCTGCTCCTGCACGACAATGTGCGACGTACTGCGCGACTGCACAACAGACGGTCTCCAAGTTACAAGAGCTGGGGTTGGTAGCTCTCCGTCATCCGCCGTACTCATCTGACCTTGTGCCTACAAACTTCTACTTTTTCCAGGATTTGGATAATTTTATGGCGGTAAAAAATTCAATATCCGAGAGAACAAAATGCCTTTGAAGAATTTGTTGTCTCCCATCCAGCTGACTTCTTCAAGAAGGGCATCAATAAACTGTCACTGCGTCGGCAAAGATACATCGAATGCATGGGTAATTACTTTGATTAATAGAAATAAAAAATATAGAAAAAAAATATGTTAACTTATTTCATAAAAAACGGCAATTTCATAGGTAATAAGACATAATAGGACATAAGACCTAATATAATAATTACCCACAACAACCGAGTCGAATCTTAGTACATTGACTGCCATGTAGGGCACCGGTGACCGGAGGCGGTCTTGTACCAAGGCGCTTCGTAGGACACCGGTGACCTCACAGTAAACCTGTTTTCGGTGTTTTCTATAGATTTTCTATTAATAAGTGACCGGAATAGCGCTCTGGAGTAATACTTCCATATGGTTTCTATGTAACGTAAGAATATTTTGAATTATTGAAGGTAAACCTTCAACGACATGAAAATGCCCAGATCATAATATCCAATTTATTAAAATCCAAATTTATTCATAAATCGTAAATGAATTACAATAGGAAGGGTAATAAAACAAATAGTTAAATAGACGAGTAATTTATCTTTTCACACAAAATTGCCTACTTATATGAACAAAAAAACAAACAGAAAGGGAACAAAATATCAGAAAATGTAGTTCACCACATCCTTGCAAATAACGATGGCACTTATTTTAATACATAGGTAATTGTGGGGTTGTCCAGGACATTCAGTACAATAGATTGCCACTTTTTGTGGCCTTGTTTTTGGCTATTCTTGATCCAAACGTAGAAACACAGCTTTTGTAGCATTGTAAAGCGCCTGGATTGCCTAACTTTGCCTTCTTTTGTTTTTAATGTATGTTTTAGTCTTTTAGATCTCTTAGAAATAGATTCACTCTCGGCAACTTCGGATTCGTCTTTCCCAGAGTCTACTAGATATTCCACTAATTGACGTCGGAATTCTACAATTCCTTGTTGAACCGCATTTTCGCAAACATGATCCAGGCATTTACTACGGCCGTGTTTAAAATTAATTCGATGCCTAACTTTTTATACCATTTTATAGTTTTTCTCAAGTGATGAATACGCACTCATTTGATCGCTCATATCAACAGCTCCTTTTGTTTTATTGTACGCTATAACCATCTTCCGTTTTAGAACCACTTTTTCTTTTTATGCACCCTAGCAAATCCTTTCGAGTGTTTTGTGGAGAGCATAAACACACTTCGTTTATTCTTCCAGTGTAACACTGTTTATGCCTCATTCGTTTTCAATTGCCACAGATTCGCCTGGTTTAAGTTTTGCATCGATTACTTGTTTTGGCAGGCCTTTCCTATTTTTTCACAGTGTGCCAACTAAATGAGTATTCCTATCTAGAAGTTCATTCCACCAGTTTCTCGACTCCACAGAGTCAGTAATTCATTCTTGGGGCAATGTATACGCTATTACAACAAGGTCCCGGAAAGTGTACAGGTTCTCTCTATTACCAAGTTTAAATGTTTTATTAAGCTGAAACTGTATAAAAAGGGTTATTATAGTATAAATGAATACATGGTTGATAATAACCCCTGGGAATGAGGTGATCGCTTCCAAGCAGTTTCTAAAATAAATTTTGTAAATAGTTCGTAATCATTTATATTGTAAAATTTATTTTTAAAAAAAAGTCCCGCTGGGTTTCTTGCTGGTTCTTCCCAGGACAGGGTTTTTTCGAACCAGTGGTAAAGTAAAAAATGACTTTCAATAAGAATTACACACGTAATGTATATTGAATAAAAAAATATTCTATTCTATTGGCTAAACTCAAATTTGTGTACCAATCATCCGTAGCTATGGTGTGTCCCAAATCAAGTTTTTTTTTTTCAGAGTGACATTACATTACATCTTTAGGCGTTGTTCACAACGCCTAAAGATGTAATGACCCATGGTATTGGGCTGCCGTAGAGAGAGATCGTACCTATTTTATATTTTTTAACCTGTGCCAATAAGGTTTAAAAAAACACCTTTTATTGAAAAAGATGGCTTTGCTCTTATCGGGGTTCAGTTCGATTCTCCATTTTCTGCACCAATCGCCTAGTGCGTTTGCTGCAGCTTGGAGTCGACTGCAGATTATAATGGGGTGGGTGTCTGAAGAATAGATGGTAGTATCATCCGCGTATAGTGCGAGATGAGTACCTATTAACGAAGGGATATCACTTGTGTAAAGTGAGTATAGGGTCGGGGAGAGCACCGAGCCCTGGGGAACTCCTGCTCTGATTGGTCTGGAAGAGGAGAATGTATCCTCCACGCGAAAACGAAAGGATCTATTTGCAAGTAAATCTTGAACGATTTTGACAAGTCTTAAGGGCACCCCTGTATGGATACGTTTGAAAACTAGTCCGTTGTGCCAGACTTTGTCGAAGGCCTTGGCCACATCGAAGAACAGTGCTCCTGTGTAAACAGGGCGCCTGTTCGCCTTTGCAGCCTGATCTAAAATGTGTTCCGTGTGCACCTGTTGAACACTACAGTGTTTGGCTCGAAAGCCAAACTGCTCGTTAGGAATTAGATTCTTACTTAGTAGCACTGCATCCTTCAGACGGCTGAGGATGATGCGCTCATAGATTTTCCCCACGGCACTAAGGAGACTGATGGGCCTATAGCTAGATGCTCGATCTCTAGGTTTGTTCGGTTTGTGAATACAGATTACTTCTGCTTCTTTCCACACTTCTGGAAAGGTGCAGGTGGACAATAAGACATTGAAAATAGCTACTAGAAGGCAGATCAACTTTCGAGGAAGGGCTTTAAACACTTTGTTATTAATACCGTCAGCGCCTGGCGCTTTTCGAGGTTTGAGATTTTTGATGATGGTTTTCACCTCATCAAAAGTAACGGGAGGGAGTGGATCATCCGTTGGTGGTGTGGCGGACTGATTAGCCGCTTCCTCGTCCACCTTGTTCAGGTGGACGGGGTCGATTGGCAGGGTGCTTGGAGAGCATTGGCTCTCGATGCTATCCGCCATGCACTCGGCCTTCTCCGAGTCATCGAACGCTAACTGACCATCAGATCTAACTAATTGGAGCATCGAAGCGACATTTTGCTGATTTAAGAGCTCTCGCCAGCTTCCAGTAGGCTGTACGCGAGGGTGAGATATCTTCCATCAGATTGTCCCATCGTGACCCCCTCAGCTGAGCCATGCGCTCCTTGACCTCTCTACAGAGGCGGCGCAGATTGGACCTATTATTGACGGTTCTATAACGATCATAGGCCCTCACTGCAGCGTTTATATGAGAGGTGATATGAGAGATGGCTTCTAAGGCCACTTCTTTAGTGTCTATAGCGTCTGGCACTTGATCTAAATATTCTGTGTTCATAGTTTCGAGGTTAGCCTCGAACCTATGCCAGTCCGTAACAGTTTTGGTTGTAAGAACCTCATTGCTGGACTGTCCTAACGACAGTATAACCGGGCGGTGGTCCGATAGCGTAACGTTAAGGTTACGTTCTTGAGTAGTGCTAAGTCGATTTTAGACGGATTATGAGTCATATTCGTTGAAAATCTAGTGTCCTCCAGAGGAGCTATTATATTGAACTCTAGGATATCACTAAGAGCTAATAAGTCACGGCCATTGAGGATGTTCTTAATGTTTCTATTATTAGTCCAGACTTGATGCTTACTATTTAAATCGCCTGCTAATATAACCGAATTACTAAGGTTAAATAGAGCTTCAAAATCGCTTTTTATTATCTTTTTATTAGGTGAAAGATATACAGAGGCTACCGTGATCGGTTGATGACCGGTCATGGCTACTCTGCAAACGGAGGCCTCTAGATCAGTTAATTGAGGCGTGACAATGGGAACTACATGTAGGGACGACCTATAATAAATAAGGGTCCCTCCTAAGCTATTCCCTATGCGATCGTTCCGAATCGATTCTTATATAAAGACGCCTTCGTATTTTTAGGGGATGGATAGTCTCATCTCCACTCTCCTCTAAATCGTATACATTTTCACATATCAGATTTACTTCATTCAGTTACAACTCTTCTAGTAAATCCATTTCACGTAAATTAGCCTGGGTAAAAAACAAGTCCTCAGAGTTTATCTAACTCGGACATTGCGACACAAGATAGTGGTAATCGCAAAATGAGACGACGTAACGTCCGTTCCGTGATAGCGCGTGCGAGCGACTGAGGTGCGCGGGGTGCCCAGCCCGGGAAGATGACCTCACCGGCGCCTTGTAACGAAAATCGGCATATTTCCTTCAGTGCGCCACGTAGGGCACCGGTGACCTCGTAAGTTTTTTTTTTGTACGGAACCCTGACTCCGATTGATCCCAAAATTTAACACTATATATATATATATATATATATATATATATAACCCATAATATCTATTAGCACTGAATTTTTTTTGTGATTTTCGTCATTGTTACTCTGGCAATTAATGTGTTAATGCCCAGTGCTCAATATTCACGACCGTTTGCCGTTCGTTCTAAATCTGTATCTTTTAAACTGAACTATATCATTTGTTTTTTCCTTATACGTAAATAATAAAAAGACTGTGGAATACATACCAGCTTCAGGGATTTGTAAAAGGGCGGCGGCTGCTCGCAGCGCGGAACGCTTAAGCTCGTCTTGCTTCTCGTACTCCTGCTTTACGGAGTTCGCCTTCACTTTCATCGTGCAGGTCGCTCTCAGCGGCTCCACTAGACTTTCTAATCCTGTTTAACGATAAGAACTACATTACTTTTCGTTCTATAAGAAAACTCACAATTCTATCTTCTTTATCAACCCATAAGTTCAAAGCTGGACATATTTCTAAATGAGTGAAGAGGACCAGACCCTTTTTACTTGTTTCGAAGTACAATCAGGTCTGGCAACTTTACCAATGGATGTTAACTTTGCCATCAGGGGTGTACTGATATAAAATACGATTAACAAAAAAACGTAAAGTTTTTCGAGATAAGCCATGTTTTGGATGAAAATATAATAACTAATTGACAGCATTGCTTTCGATATGGCAACATGAGAGTTAATTTTGACATTTTATTTTAACGAGGAATTGTGCCGGCGAAATAACCTCTTTGTTCAGTGCTCCAGAACTACAGTTATTTTTTGTTTGAAGTACTGAATGTAGGTATCTATATCTTTGTAGTAATGTAATATTATATTAATGGTTATCAAATGTAATATATCGTTTTTAACATGTTGGTCTTAACATTTATCTATAAAACTAACTTGGCAAAGTTACCATACTAGTGATGCCATTATGGGACGGTTACTTTGCCATGTTTTGATACAACCAAGGGTTGTCACTTTCAACCTATATTTTTAACCGATTACAACTATTTAAAAAAAGTGTTCTGCACTTGACAACTTGACATTCTATGTTTGTATGTATGTTTGTACTGATGTTTCGCCGTAGCAGCCCATTAGACCGATTTTAACAAATGAGTCGTCAATCAATTCATCTTTATTAAAAGTGAACGAAAAGAATAGAGAAATCTATATTATTTTTACTGCGTTGGGCATTAATAATATTATTACTATTCAGTATTTTCATAATTTCAACTAAATGTGTGTATAAGTGATATTAAGCAAAATATTAATTGTCATTTTTAATGGTTATTAATGTTTTGCTATTGTGGGAAAACAATATTGAATACTTGTTAAAAATGATTGTAACAAGCTTTTTTTATTCTATACTATAATTGATTTACGCTTATTATTGCACCAATTTTACTTTTAATTTTAGACGAGAGTATTTTTGTTTGATATATTTTAGATTTTTCTTAAGAATATATTGTGACAAGATTTAAATAAAAAAAAATTAAGTTTGTAATCAAGGATTTTTGACAACCCTGACACATATTTTCATGTTCGTATGAAAAATTTAAAAGTGGGAGGGCAACTTTGTCACAGGCGTAAACTTTGCTATTTGCAACACAATTAAAGAAGTAAATCATAATTCTGGGTGTTGTAAATGATATTATGAGATAAACTTACCTTCAACCTTGAAGTCAAATCCTATTATTTTCATTATAAACCCTGATAGCAAAGTTGCCTCAAAGTGAGGTTCACTTTGCCATTTTCTATATTTGAGTATTTTGTATTTTTAATGTTAATATTTGTTTAAATCATGAATGAATACCAAATCTATGAAGAATATAATGTCAAATCACATTTAAAATTGACGAACAGTCTCACAATACATTTCAGTTCTTCCAAAAATGGCAAAGTTGCCAGGTTTCACGGTATTTTAAATTAGTCCTCAGGGGTGACAGGTATCTGCATTTTGATTCTTAAACAAGGAAAGATGTAGGTGTATATTATGAGTCACGATTTCCACATACCATTATGTGTACTGTATGCTCGTTTGTCACACTTACTTCTATTAAAAAAAAAACAAGTGCGTGCTTCCGATCTTCGGAAGATATACTCACTCTGTAGCACGACAGTGGGGCAGAGCTGCGCCAGTCTCGCACACATGAGGTAGGTGAGCATCTTTATGTCGTAGTGATCCCGCAGGCCGTCCTCCACGTGCCGCAAGAATTCGAACACGTCAAGCCGGTCCAAGCACGTGCCCAGCAACGTGTACATACACTCAAACGCCGCCTTCCTCAGGTCCAGTCCATCGTCTACAGAGTGCTTGAATGGACCCATTTCCACCTCTCTGATCAATTCTTTCTAAAATTAAAACAATTTGTACAAGATAAATGATGTACATTATTGAAATCTTAACTTCTCTGAACTGCATATTAACAAAAATATAGAGTTGCACGTAGTACGTGTGCCACGTGTGCTACGTGTGCACTAGGGTAGAGTGCAGGCGTGCTCACCTTGACCTTGGTCTCGCTGTAGATGGTGGGCAGCAGCGCGGGCAGCAGGTCGCGCACCAGCGAGGGCTTGTTGTGCGCGGCCGAGTTGAACGTGCTACGTGTGCACTAGGGTAGAGTGCAGGCGTGCTCACCTTGACCTTGGTCTCGCTGTAGATGGTGGGCAGCAGCGCGGGCAGCAGGTCGCGCACCAGCGAGGGCTTGTTGTGCGCGGCCGAGTTGAACGTGCTACGTGTGCACTAGGGTAGAGTGCAGGCGTGCTCACCTTGACCTTGGTCTCGCTGTAGATGGTGGGCAGCAGCGCGGGCAGCAGGTCGCGCACCAGCGAGGGCTTGTTGTGCGCGGCCGAGTTGAACGTGCTACGTGTGCACTAGGGTAGAGTGCAGGCGTGCTCACCTTGACCTTGGTCTCGCTGTAGATGGTGGGCAGCAGCGCGGGCAGCAGGTCGCGCACCAGCGAGGGCTTGTTGTGCGCGGCCGAGTTGAACGTGCTACGTGTGCACTAGGGTAGAGTGCAGGCGTGCTCACCTTGACCTTGGTCTCGCTGTAGATGGTGGGCAGCAGCGCGGGCAGCAGGTCGCGCACCAGCGAGGGCTTGTTGTGCGCGGCCGAGTTGAACGTGCTACGTGTGCACTAGGGTAGAGTGCAGGCGTGCTCACCTTGACCTTGGTCTCGCTGTAGATGGTGGGCAGCAGCGCGGGCAGCAGGTCGCGCACCAGCGAGGGCTTGTTGTGCGCGGCCGAGTTGAACGTGCTACGTGTGCACTAGGGTAGAGTGCAGGCGTGCTCACCTTGACCTTGGTCTCGCTGTAGATGGTGGGCAGCAGCGCGGGCAGCAGGTCGCGCACCAGCGAGGGCTTGTTGTGCGCGGCCGAGTTGAACGTGCTACGTGTGCACTAGGGTAGAGTGCAGGCGTGCTCACCTTGACCTTGGTCTCGCTGTAGATGGTGGGCAGCAGCGCGGGCAGCAGGTCGCGCACCAGCGAGGGCTTGTTGTGCGCGGCCGAGTTGAACGTGCTACGTGTGCACTAGGGTAGAGTGCAGGCGTGCTCACCTTGACCTTGGTCTCGCTGTAGATGGTGGGCAGCAGCGCGGGCAGCAGGTCGCGCACCAGCGAGGGCTTGTTGTGCGCGGCCGAGTTGAACGTGCTACGTGTGCACTAGGGTAGAGTGCAGGCGTGCTCACCTTGACCTTGGTCTCGCTGTAGATGGTGGGCAGCAGCGCGGGCAGCAGGTCGCGCACCAGCGAGGGCTTGTTGTGCGCGGCCGAGTTGAACGTGCTACGTGTGCACTAGGGTAGAGTGCAGGCGTGCTCACCTTGACCTTGGTCTCGCTGTAGATGGTGGGCAGCAGCGCGGGCAGCAGGTCGCGCACCAGCGAGGGCTTGTTGTGCGCGGCCGAGTTGAACGTGCTACGTGTGCACTAGGGTAGAGTGCAGGCGTGCTCACCTTGACCTTGGTCTCGCTGTAGATGGTGGGCAGCAGCGCGGGCAGCAGGTCGCGCACCAGCGAGGGCTTGTTGTGCGCGGCCGAGTTGAACGTGCTACGTGTGCACTAGGGTAGAGTGCAGGCGTGCTCACCTTGACCTTGGTCTCGCTGTAGATGGTGGGCAGCAGCGCGGGCAGCAGGTCGCGCACCAGCGAGGGCTTGTTGTGCGCGGCCGAGTTGAACGTGCTACGTGTGCACTAGGGTAGAGTGCAGGCGTGCTCACCTTGACCTTGGTCTCGCTGTAGATGGTGGGCAGCAGCGCGGGCAGCAGGTCGCGCACCAGCGAGGGCTTGTTGTGCGCGGCCGAGTTGAACGTGCTACGTGTGCACTAGGGTAGAGTGCAGGCGTGCTCACCTTGACCTTGGTCTCGCTGTAGATGGTGGGCAGCAGCGCGGGCAGCAGGTCGCGCACCAGCGAGGGCTTGTTGTGCGCGGCCGAGTTGAACGTGCTACGTGTGCACTAGGGTAGAGTGCAGGCGTGCTCACCTTGACCTTGGTCTCGCTGTAGATGGTGGGCAGCAGCGCGGGCAGCAGGTCGCGCACCAGCGAGGGCTTGTTGTGCGCGGCCGAGTTGAACGTGCTACGTGTGCACTAGGGTAGAGTGCAGGCGTGCTCACCTTGACCTTGGTCTCGCTGTAGATGGTGGGCAGCAGCGCGGGCAGCAGGTCGCGCACCAGCGAGGGCTTGTTGTGCGCGGCCGAGTTGAACGTGCTACGTGTGCACTAGGGTAGAGTGCAGGCGTGCTCACCTTGACCTTGGTCTCGCTGTAGATGGTGGGCAGCAGCGCGGGCAGCAGGTCGCGCACCAGCGAGGGCTTGTTGTGCGCGGCCGAGTTGAACGTGCTACGTGTGCACTAGGGTAGAGTGCAGGCGTGCTCACCTTGACCTTGGTCTCGCTGTAGATGGTGGGCAGCAGCGCGGGCAGCAGGTCGCGCACCAGCGAGGGCTTGTTGTGCGCGGCCGAGTTGAACGTGCTACGTGTGCACTAGGGTAGAGTGCAGGCGTGCTCACCTTGACCTTGGTCTCGCTGTAGATGGTGGGCAGCAGCGCGGGCAGCAGGTCGCGCACCAGCGAGGGCTTGTTGTGCGCGGCCGAGTTGAACGTGCTACGTGTGCACTAGGGTAGAGTGCAGGCGTGCTCACCTTGACCTTGGTCTCGCTGTAGATGGTGGGCAGCAGCGCGGGCAGCAGGTCGCGCACCAGCGAGGGCTTGTTGTGCGCGGCCGAGTTGAAGGCGACGAGCGCCACGCGGCGCACGCACAGCTCCTCGTCGCGCAGCGGCACCATCAGCTCCGACATGCACGCGCGCAGCAGCGGGTCGATGGCCTGTGGCTGCACACATACGCAACACCTCACATGTACAGCCACAATTATCCAAACGGTTTTAGACATCTTTTTTACAGAAATAAAACATGACATTCGAACAAATTAGCCTGTACACTCTTTGTTTCATGTTTTTAGGAATAGGTGACGAGAAGATGAGTCGTAATCTCCCGAACACTGCCCAGTCGAGTTGGACCCGTCAATGAGGGCTAATATTCAGATTGCTCACCAGATTTCGCTAGTTGGGACTAAAGTGAACTAATTTGTTACGCACATAGTCACGCAGTGTCATCATCATTGAAAAGTTGCGTTTTTAATAAAAGTTATTCAGTTTCTGGTTTCGGTTCTTTTTACACATTTTTAATTTTGTTTATTCTTGTACGTTTAGGTAATATCCATAGTTTTCTTTTTTTTTCCATTTCCAATTTAATCATTATAAAATATAACTAATACTTCAGAAACAAATATTCATCGTTGCATTTTTTTTTAAGAAATGAAATTGCTATGAAATCTGTCAAATATTTCCCCTCATTCCAAAGTGACGTCGCCCTGGTGGCATAAAGTCGTGGTTGCCTCTCCTCCAAGACCTCTCGGTTGAAATTGGACTTATTAATTCGGAGGAAGAGCTAGGTAACAACATAGAAGTGACATGAATGTTACATATGACCTATTGTCCATATTTATCTAAAGACCTGTCTGTGGGGAGATTCTATTGAGGTATTATAATGAAATGATTGATACATAATATATAATATAGTTATTATTAAGTCATTACATAATATTTAATCAATTTCAATGTTCCGTGATTTATACTAGGATTAAATTTCACGAACATACTATGAACAAATTTTATTATGAACCTATAATCTTAAGCAACTGACATTATTTTTCTGTTTTATTCAGTCTGTAAAAAGCCGTACTAAATTAAGACAAAAGAATATACCTGGTCTGATATAGTAAATTTAACAGCAGTTACAGCAGTAGTTCTTGTGAGTGGTTCAGGAGACTTGAGGAATTCTTTCAAATGTGGTAATAAATCTTGAGGTTCTAGAAGACATAACTTTCCTAAACACTCAGCGACCTGGAATAAAAAAGATTATGTTAACATAAACTATTTTTTTTTAATAAATTCTCTATTTCCTATATATCATAATTAACATTTTTTTTAAAGACAAATTTAATTGCATTTCATATTAATTACAACGATTGGACTCAATCAATGTTGTCTAAAATTATTGTTATTTAAAAAAATATGTAGATTGTACATACTACATTACGAGACCCTTCCTCCGCACATTGACAGTGTTTTGATAGTTGAACCCAAATTTCTGGAATAAACGGCCTTAAGGCTTCAATACCTTCTGGTGTGCAAGATTCACAAGATATTATCTGAAAAGAAATGCACACATAAATAAACTGCAACTATTTTAGCCTTTGTCTGTTTGAAGTATGTTATTAAAAATTTACCAAAACTATTTATATTAGTCTAATAACAAGTCACAAAAGGTGTTTGACAACATGACATATTTGGCAAAATCATTTACAGGGAGTAGGAAACTTTCTTTTAGAGTGGAAGCTATTGCCTATAAATAACAATTTACATGCTAGGTTATTTGACAAACGAAAACCACTTACCTCTCTTAGAGAGTGCAACAACAGATATTGTCGTTTGGGTTGTGCCTCTATCTCTCCAAGTATGAAAGGCAGAAACTCAGGCAGGTTGCCAACGGCCACGGATCCCAAGGCATAGCTAGCAGCAGACTTCACCTCCTCCGACGAAGGTGTAAATGAGTTCAATAGCACCTCTTTTAGATTCGGTATTGAGCTTAGGTCTCTGTAATTAAGTAAGTATTATATTGCTATTACTCAGGAAATAATTCAGCCGTTCGATCTCGAATCACCATCAACAAAAAGTTTTTTAAGTAATTTTTTTTTTTTACAAACAGTTAATAATGAATTCATTATTATATTATTACATCTTTTTAGTAAAAACCATTATATAAAGCATACCTAAAACCATTTTCACTTAACAGCTATTATATATTTGAATAGCAAATTGTGCGATTAAGGTATTGTGCTGTACAAATTTCTTATCAATGTAGTTTTAATTTGTAAATTATTTTGTTTACCAGTATTAGATTTAATTTATGATTTTTTTATAGGATAAGGGTGACAAACGAGCACACAGTCCACCTGATGGTAAGTGGTTGCTGCGGCCCATAGACAATTACATCTATTCTCGATTACGAATCAAAATGCAGATGCGTTGTCACCCGTGAGGACTAAGATGGAATGCCTCTTTTCCAGTAAAAAGGGTCCCCGGTTCTCTACACTCACCATACGAAACACAGCAGTATTTAGCTGTTATTTTTTACGATGGTATTCTGTGAGAGCGCGGTCCTTCCCCGATCGAGTCGACCCATTCGTGCTACAACTATACTATTAATATAACTGCAGCATGGCTCTACCACGTACATAAAACGGTGAATCTCGGAGCTCGTTAAGTGCAAACAGAAAATCTTTTATCACCCTTCAAGCTTAACATTAAATTCACTGAATCGGAATGGGAAGGCATATAATATAGAAAAGACTCAAGTCAGGTCAAAGAGCTACAATTAAATATTAAGATTGAAAAAAGCATAATTTGTGTTTTTGTGAGAATACATTTTAGCAGCTGAAATTTGAGTCCAGGATCCACAAGACCTTTGGGCAGGCCTGTCTCACTCCGCACTTTAGGCATGAAAATATACCTACTGTGCGCGGCCCCCTACATGGGTCTAATTTCGTGAGGTTATAACGCGCGCGCTCGAACTGACCTTCCGTTAACAAAAAAGTATTTTTCTCTTTTATTTAAGTATTAGGCCACTTTTGATATTTATTTTTGAGTTTTTATTCAAGTATGGCCTCTCAAAAAGCCAAAAGGTACTGTATAGAATACGGGTGCTTAAATAACAATAGGAATGTCGACTTTTCATTATTTTCTGTTTCTAAGGATACCGAAGGGTAATATATTATTATTTATAGGTAGATCTAGATAATTAGGTACTTAGTAACTGACGCCATTGTTACAGATTTATTATTTGATTAGTGACCCGACCACAGTTTCGCAGTTTTCGATTTTTTCGCGTATAATGCCATTGACCTTAAAATCGTTCAGTGTAAATAACTGCCTACTAATGCAAGATCAGCATATACTGGTTATTAGTTTACACTTGGTCGATAAAAGAAAGAGATTGAAAATAACATCACTTCTCATTGCCACTATTCATTAATAATGAAGTTGCGTGTCGCATGTTTGTAAATATGAAACAGACAAGTGACAGCTCCGTGGCGCAGCCGCTTAGTAATGAGTTGGAGCACTAAGGGCCAAGGGCCGCGGGTTCGAATCCCGGCCGGAACAAATATTTGTATGGCCTACAAATAATTGTTCTGAGTCTGTTCTATGTATGTAAATTGCCCTGCGATACAGAAGAAAATCCTAGTGTGGAGGTAACGTTTTTAAAAAAAAAGAGGAATAGAGACAACAGCTAGTGAAATTAGGAAGTTTGTACAACGGAGTTTAATATTAATACGCATTATTAAGGATAACTCCAAAACTGCTGGTCAATTTTTTTTTTTCAAATTTATATGGGGTATATTTATAAGCACCAGCTTTTATAAAAATATAATCATCAAAATCGATTCACCTAGAAAAAAAGTTCTGAGGTAACACACATAAAAAATACAATCGAATTGAGTATCTCTTCCTTTTTTTGAAGTCGGTTTAAAATGGTAAGTAGATAAATTATCCGAGTTTCAAAGACGTTCACGTTGTTATAATCTTGATTTTCCCCGATGTTGCTTAATAAACCTTCCTCATATTAAACAATGATGTTTTTATTATCAGCAAATTGATGGCTCCGTGGTGCAGTGACTTAGCAATGAGTTGCAACGCTGGGGGCCGCGGGTTCGAATCCCGCACGGAACAAGTATTCGTATGGCCTATACAAATAATTGTTTCGTGTCTAGATGTTTGTCCTTGTGCAATTTATGTTTGTTAACTGCCTTCACGATACAGGAGAAAATCCTAGTGTGGAGGTAACGTTGTTTTTAACAAAATAAAAAAAATATAAAAAAAAGTACTAAAACATTGCATAACACCGCGGTGTATATGCCAACTAATATCAAAGGATTCAATTTGTTTTCTCACAACACCTAACCCTACAGTAGGGGCGGCCTTAACATAGGCGCATAACGGGCTAAGTGATTCAGAGACTCACGCGGACGTATTAATTTTTGTTTCGACGTAGGCTAATTTCATGAAGGTCGCTTCCGAGGCGTGCAAAGTTTTATGAACATTAGCGACGTTGTAACTAGGTTTAAACTCGCAAGTTTGCTATCAGAGAGTGATCCTTCTGTTTTTTTACTATTATTTAATCTGTGGTTTGGGTACTCCGAGTGCCATACTGCATAAGTTATCATGGGACATCATTTTTAGGCCAATGTTATATGTTTTTGGACCCATTCATTTTGGAGCGCTGTTGGCCATTTTTGCTCCAAGAAAGGAAATGTACAACAAATTATTATTAAACTATTGGTGGACGCAGGTTGCTCAGAATTGTGCTTGGGAGCAATCTATGGGAAAGGTATGTATATTTAACAGGACTCGTATTGTACTTTGATGGTGATGATGATGATGATTAAGAATCGTGTTTTGGTTCAGTCAAGTCAAGGTCCTTCCATTGATGAGGATAGGTACGGTGCTAGCAATTAGAGTCCAATCCCTGTCAGCTCGGATGAAACTGTAAAGTGCAATTTAGTGCTTAACCACGTGTTCGGTGGTAAAAGAAAACATCGTGAGCATGGTTTCTTCATAATGTAGTAATAAAAACATAATTGTATACGTGTGAACTCCGCATACAAAGAAAGCAAAGTTGATATGCAAAGGGGCACATAAGAATATTTTCTCCAAAACCGTCACCGTTACAGCCTATCAAAACTCCGCTGCTCAACATAGGCTTCCCACATAGATTGCCTCATAGGGAGAATATTTGCAATAGTCGCCAACCTCGGCAGGCGCATTAGCATCCACAGTTTTTTTATTTTTTAGTTATTATTAGGAAAATGCTGCTGTCCATCTGGCTTGTTTCCCTCTGTCGCTTCTTACTTACCGTTATTAGCGGGTTTTCACTATTGGTACTGCGCGTGTTGACGGTACGGGTCCGATGAGCCTTCATTTCTAATTCCATTCTTTATTCGTATGCACTATAATCGAAACAGACAACACCAACGAAATATATTGTTAGAGATTTAGAATACATAGCGAATTAGATGTGTAGTTACAAACATTGGCCTATGTCCGATAAAGTACTAGGCAGAGAATGGGAACACACAACACACAACACACAATGAGATAAGAAAGAGTGTTAAGTGTAGTTACAGGCGGCGGCCGATCTCGGCGACGGCGAGCAGCGCGAACATGTGGTGCGCGTCGGAGGGCGGGTGCGCGGCGTCGCGCAGGAAGCCGCGCACCACGTCCAGCGCGTCCGCGCCGCCCGACACCACCACGGCCGCCACGCACTTCGCCAGCGAGTGGAATGCCTGCGCCACAACACCACAACACTCCTTATAATAGTTGCGTATACCCACAGACACCTTGCATGCAATCACGAACTCATCTAACACACGGCACCGCCCGCTAACCAAATAGGTCTTCAAAGACGTGACACAATTTACTTATGTGACTTTAAAATGTTTAACATAGTATAAAACCCAGGATTTAATTTTTAAAATAGCCCAGTAGTAGTAAGTTAGTTTGTAAGTTACGTAGTCTAGTATTCCTGTGAACTCACATCTTCACAATGTAGTTAGAAAATAAAAGTAATATAGGAAAAAGTCTTTGTCTCCTTCCACTTCAACCCTCCCTAAGCTCGTAAAACCCGAAAGCCCGCAAACGTAAGTCACTTAACAACAAACTTTATTCGCCGCAATAATTAAATACACGAGAAATTTATATAAAATAAATAATGTATGATATATGACCATGTAATGTCCTCTACATCGAATTTCGGTCACGGCGGCTAGTCTCTTTTGCGGCGGACATTTTCATGCCCTAAAATCCTCTCAGAAATGAGTGGAGGCCCGTGGCCAGCAGTGGAACGTATATAGGCTGTAAGTTTGATTTGAACACCAGCAGCGTAAGGCTGACCTGTTTAATGTGGTGCGCGGAGGCGTTGTGGTCGTGCACGCGCTGCACGGGCGCCACCAGCAGCGCCAGCAGCTCGCGGCGCGAGCAGCCCGCCACGTCGGCCGCCACCAGCGCGCTCAGCACGCCCAGCATCGCCTTCAGCGCGCCGCCTGCACCCACATAAACCCCACATCAACTTACACTCTACATACGTACACCTACCGCTGCCAATATGCCCATCTTATCATTTTGAACAGGGACTCGGTCAAATCAAAATCAAATATTTTTATTCGAAACAGGCATTTATAAAACACTTTTTGTAAGTCAAAAACTATGACTGCGAGGAAACTTTATGAGGAACAGCAAGAAATTTACAAGTAGTTAACTTTTTTTTCTTAACAGTTACAAATTGACATTGTGAAATAAAAAAAACTTATTATGTCCACGCATTTTTATCTTTAAAAAGAAATCATCTAATTTATAGTATCCTTTCCGCATAACAATAAATTTATGCAAAGGCAAATCAGTAATCTTAACAAAGAATCTTATTATAAATAGTTATACATGTATCCAAAACTGAGATCCTGGCTGGACGTGTTAAAATTATGTGTTATAATTATATATATGAATATAATATTACATAAGCGATTTTGTTATAGTGCTGACACACGGTCGAATGTAGTTTGCTCCGGACAAGGGATTTAGTCCGCTCCGTACAAAATCTGTTCGTGTGGAGAGTAGTCTGCCAACGATAATTATTTTGAGACCGCGCGTTCCGATGGGTCGCACGTCCTACTCGGTCCACTCCGAACCGGATGTCGTAGCATGGGACCAGACAAATCGCCGTCAGTTACGGAAGCGTCGTGAGGTGTACCTTGCAGCAGCGGCGACTTGGCGAGCGCGAGGATGTTGGGCGTGAGCGCTTGGCGCGCGTCGGGCGTGAGCGCGGCGGGGCAGCGCAGGCAGGCGCCGCGCACCAGCGTGAGCGCCGTCTGCGCGCAGTGCAGGTCCGACTCGCACACCAGCGCCGGCACCTCCACCAGCACCTGCCACACCACCCACCACACACTCTCACTCGCACCTAAACATCTTACGCACGCCACGTGTCGCTACATGGGACTGAACTAGCTATACAACTAGCTATTTCCCGTGACTTCATCCACCTAGAATTTATTACTATTGGATTTCATGAATTTTAATTTCTTTTGCGTGGAATACTATTTTTTTTTTCTAAATAAAAAGTATCCTTAGTTACTCCTTATAACATCGGCTATCGGCCAGTGAGTCCCATTAAAATCGGTCCCGCCAAATCAGAAATTAGCCGGAACTAACAGACAGATAAAAAATTTAAAAATTATTTTTGTTATAAGTACCATTTATACTTCCATATGCATTTAATAAAAAGCCGTTATTTTACAAAGCTGTTAATGTTACAAACAGACAATTTATTTAGTGATATCGTTGTCAATACCACTTTTAACTGATTTTTGCATTCAAAAGTAGTTTTGACTAAGGATGTTGGTCAAAACCATTGTTAACTGCAAAAATATTGGGTTATAGTGATTTTGACCAAATTACATCGGTTAAAAGTAGTTTTGACCAAGAATACTAGTCAAAACTACTTAACTTGTACTTTATGAATTTCTGAACTTAAAAAGTTCAATTCCTTCAATATTATATTTTATATCCGGATTTATTAATAAAACTAACACTTTTAAGGATTTGTGAGGAATTTCCATGCAGTAAGTTGGCAAAATATATAAATCAGAACACACATACCTTGCTTAGAAGCTCTATGCTAATATCATTGCTGTAATTTTGAACTAGAGTGTCTAGCAGCACCAATGTTGACAACTTAAGTGCCCTCTGATTCTTTCTTAGAAATGAGCCTAATATAGGTACTACATCAGACTGAAAAAAAAAATTAAAATATGATGAAATCATAAAAACACTCAATGTTATATTTCTTTAATAATACTCACCAAAATAGGCCTAAGATCAATTCGGAGTGGAGAAGATGCCACTTTGGTCAGGGCTTTTACAGTAGTAAGGCGAGTTATCTCATTGCGTAGTCGTTCAAGCAAAATTGGTAAGCAGATAGCAAGTTCATTCTGGAATAAATGCAAAGAAATATAACGAAATATAAATAAAAAAAATTATTACATTTTAGTTACATTCAAGTATCACTGAGAACAATTTTTTTTATACCCCATTGATTTTTATTATTTGCATAGTGCAACATTATTAGCATTGGATAAAGGAAACAATGCACGTCATAACATTATATTTTATTTTCATTTATTTTTTTATTTCTCAAAAAACTACCACAACACTAAGATTTTCTACATACACATTAAATTTCACAAGAACCAACATCCAGACGCGGAAAAATTATTTGTAGGCCATTTAAATATATGTTCCTTACGGGATTCAAACCACCTACCCTCAGCGCCGCAACTTAGTTCTAAGCCACTGCGCCATGGAGCCGTCGCTAGTACAATCATATAGTGATATGTATTTGTGTAAAAAAAAACATTTAACATGATTTTAAATGTGGCTGGTAGTGTTGTAATAGTACCCATATCTCTGACATAAGTGTACAAGCGGACTACTTCATAATGATTTCGAGTGTGCTGGGGATAGTAAGTGCTACTTCTGGAATGTACTTCTAGCAAAGCATAGCGATGGAGGGGACCCGAACATATATCCCACAACCATTTATCTACGCTGATGGCGAATTCCGTGGGGCTCAGCCGGTATAACTCCGGCAAAACTATTCCCTTGCCCCCACAGGGGAAGGTATTCATTATGATTTCCCCACCGTAAAAAGAGACTGCTAAGACGCCCGAAAAGGTGGTAGATCGCCATCGCGTCCTCTCGGATTTTTTACTTGTTGGCGGACAACCTTTCGTGAATAGTTAAGGTGGATTCTCCGATAGCCCGCCTATACATTTTGGTCTGGACATTTACGCTAAACACAGACTTTACTTGTTTAAAACTAAACATTTTATCACTTTTATACGCTGAAATGTGCACGCGGTTGACCTTTTTAGAAAAGAACTTACAGTTTACATAAAATAAGAAAAACAATAGTGAAATCTAGGAAAATTTTGACACTTTCTTTAGTAGTGTGAGTGACTTATGACTTTTTAAATCGATAAGAAACATTTGCAAAATTTTTGCCGGTTACGTAAAAAATACCTATTACGCATATTGCAAACAGTTTCCGACAGACATACATTATTATTAGTTTGTTTTATTTTGTTGTAGTACCAAGCTCAAGATCGCGTCGTATCGTTTGTTACGGTCCTGGATTTTTTAGTTTTTGGTCTTTCGATAACAGATGAAAACAATGGTTATGTATACAACATCTAACGTAATTAACGCACATACTCAGACATCCAAATTAATATATTATGTTATAATCATAATACATACACTGAATTCTTAGTTAAACATGTTTATGCATTGATTATTTATCAAATTAGTTATACTAATTCCGGAAGAATGTTGTGGTCACCGTACAAAACCACGAACGCTAGGTATAGGTCTATAATTGTTCCGGGTCTGGATGTTTGTCGTTGTGCAATTTATGCTTGTACACTGCCCCCACTATACAAGAGAAAATCCTAGTGTGGAGGTTACGTTTTAAAAAAGAAAGAAAATAATTTTGATAAGCAATAAGGCACTCCAAACTCTGTATTTGTAAAGACTTTAACATACTTGAAATAAGGTTCTGTAATGACTGTAAATTACGTAGTTTCAATTATTTTTGGGATAAAAAATTACCTATATTAAAAATGATAGAAATCGATTCAGGAAACGATTCTGAATAAACTACTTTCTCAAAGTGCGTTAATTATGTTACGTGTTGTATATTATTAATTTTGTTTTTATTGATAGTTAAATTAATAATTATTTATTCATTAATAAAGTATTTATCAATAAAATAATAATAAATATTAAACTATAGAAAAAGAGAATAGAAATAAATGTAAGTACAATTTTTAAAAATTGGTAAACATGTTTATGAGCCGTGGTAGCTCAGATGGTTAGCGCTCGGTTTAAATTACACAGTACGCGAGCAACCCGCGTCCGATCCCTGCCGATACGAATGAAATTGTTAATTGCAATTTTAATTGCTGGTTTACCACGTGCTCGGCGGTGAAGGTAAACATCGTGAGGAAACCTGCATGTCTGAGAAATAAGAAAAAAATAGTTTTCGAAGACATGTGAAGTTCGCCAACACGCAATTGGGGCAGCGCGGCGGACATTTTCTTGCCCTAAAACTAATCTAATAAAAAAATAATCAACAAGTCAAATGACTTTTGTTTTAATTGTATTTTTGTAGTAGTTTGTTTAGAATCTACATTATCGTGGTATATTTCTTCTTATTTTGCATTTACTATAAAATCAAAGGGTAAAATAATTCTATATAAATACTTCATTAGATAGGTATAACCACCTGCACAATTCAATACGCTGCTCTTTCGATTATTGTTTTACTAAAAGCTTTTTTAGCTATGAGTGCTTTGACATCAGGAAATATTTTTTCACCTTCCTGATTATTATCGCATACTAAATCGTGTTTCAGATTTGTTATCTCTTGTTTATGAATATGTAGTTTCTTACGTGTTATGTATGTAAAATTTTTGTAATAATTGGTTATGTTGCAAATCATCTGTGTTATTAGTTTTGAGTAAAAAGGCATGTATCAGGCGTGTTACTTCAAATATTTGTTTTGATCAATAATTTCAATAGTGTAAGATAATAAAATAATACTGCCTTTTTTGGTCTTAGTGTTGACATAATTTATTTGCCAAAATTATTATTATAATTAATAGAATCAGGCGTTACTTTGCGGAAATCCATTATATAAAAGCTTTTACAAAAATTTACTTCGCAAATATCCGCGTTATAAAATAAAATGATGTGTCTTACCTAGTATGAAGAAGCACCTCCCGCCCTCCCTGAATTGCGTGCACTATCCCCGTCACCAATAATCCCAGCACCGCTACTTCCAACACCACTACACTAGGCAAGACACACCACTGACGATAATACGACACGTGTTTCGCCTCTACACGAGGCATTCTCAGGTGATATAGACTCTATGGTGGCTAACCGCTAAAGCCACCGTAGAGGTGATATAGAGGTGATATAGACGTACGTAGAGGTGATATAGATAGCGGTTAGCCACCGTAGAGTCTATATCACCTGAGGATGCCTCGTGTAGAGGCGAAACACGTGTCGTATTATCGTCAGTGGTGTGTCTTGCCTAGTGTAGTGGTGTTGGAAGTAGCGGTGCTGGGATTATTGGTAACGGGGATAGTGCACGCAATTCAGGGAGGGCGGGAGGTGCTTCTTCATACTAGGTAAGACACATCATTTTATTTTATAACGCGAATATTTGCGAAGTAAATTTTTGTAAAAGCTTTTATAAAATTATTATTGAATTAAATAGTTTACGCCTACAATTATAACTTTTATTTTTATAATATAATTGTAAAATATTGGTATTCAGCTGAATCCAGTTTGACTGGGAGCCGACCCCAATATAGTTGGGGAAAAGGCTAGGCAGATGATAAATCTTAGATAAATAATATATATCGTAGCAGGTGGCGTTCTGTAGTTCTGCCTATCCATACAGAAAAAAATGTTTTTTTTCATTCACGCCATCTAGTGTTTAATCTTCGTAAACGTAGGGAGGGACTAACTAGGACTTCACTCACGTCTGTGTACGTTACCGACGCTATATTCAACGACAGATGTTATTTTAGGGCTTTCTGTCGAATTGTGTGGATTTTGAGGCAATGATATGACTTAGTACAATAAAGTAAAATGTCCGAGTACTGCGGTAGCTACTTCTACGACTTAATAATGTTCCAATTACACAAAACCAAAAACTAAAAAATATGACTTCAGCGACATCTCACGGGAAAAAGGCCGAGAACAGACCGTATGTTTCACCTTAAGTAAAGTAGTTACAGCCTATATACATCCCACTCCTGGGTACAGGCCTCCTCTCATTTATGAGAGGGTTCATGAATAGCTAGTTAAGGCGACACCGCGAGAAAATGCACCTCCTTTCATCGAATAGTAGAATAGTATAGGATTATGACACGACTAACAAAACTGGAATTTTGATATAGGTAAATGCATGTCTTTTTCTTGAATTTGCTGGTTCAAAAACACGATTGTATAATTTTGACTCGATCATAATTATTTGCCAAAACACCTCTAAAAAATCACTATAGTTGAAATTACAACGAAATTACTTAATCTATATGCTTGGACATCACTCAAATACATTCATAACATCAATATTCGTAATTTGCTGGTTCATTATTTTGATTACTTAGATCAATAATTTTTTGTTAAATATTTTAAGATTAATCGTAGTGAACTCTATGCAATTTTAGACCTTATGACGGCGTCTTGTAAGATTGTAAGATTTTATAGAAATTATGTACTAACTCCGATCCGGCGAAAGCCCGCTTAAACGGTTTTCGGTGTCGTTTTAACGAATTGAGCCCTCTACTACAAACAGTCGGCCAGCGGAGAACTATGCTTCGGATTTCGCTACCCTCCGTGACGAAGAATTCGACACAGTAAAAACTAAGACGAGCATCCTGCGGGGCTTTGGTTTTTCTGTCTTTTCCTACGGTTCGACATCGGTGCGGCATCAGAAACACTCACCTGCAAGTAGTCCCCGAAGTGGCAGAGCAGCTGACCGCAGGCGGCAATGGCGCGCTCCTTTACTTCCTGGTCCATGTCGGTGGCACGCAGCCGCACCAACGTGCACTCGTACATGGCTGGGATGAACTGCTGCAGCTCTGGCGGCGGCGGCTCGATTTCGACCTCCTCCTCGCCTATGTTCTCTACATGATCTACAAAAAACGTAGCTGGTTTAATGATTCATAGAAATGCTAGATGAAATTTCTTATTAATTTGCTCTTGCTCAACATAAGCTGCGGGAATCTGACGGTAGAAAAACTTATGACTGTGCAGTAGTGGGCAGCAGTTTCGTATTCGACACGGAACAACTATTTGTGTGGCCTAAAAATGTCCTTGAGCAATTAATATACGTAAAAAGCATCCATGATATAGGAGACATTTCTAAAGTGGCTGACATTGAAATAAAAAAAAATTTACACAGCTTGGGTTGCCACACTTTAGTAAAACTATAGTGATTTTTGAGCTGCACTTATTACACAAATAAGGTGGTGTTATTAAGAGGTTAAAGTGACAGCCTATATAATTATGTCTGATCTGATCTTAGGGTTACACTTATTAAACACTAGCCGTTCCCCGTGACTTCGCCCGCGTGGTTTTTATTACTATTGGATTTTATGGGTTTTAATTTTTTTGCGAGGAATTCTAATTATTTTTGTAAAATAAAAGTAGCCTAAGTTACTCCTTATAACATTAGCTATCTGCCAGTGAAAGTTCCGTCAAAATCGGTCCGAACAAACAGACAAAAATTTTAAAAATTGTCTTTTTGTTATATGTACCGTATATACTTTCATACGCATTTTGACGTTACAAACAGACACTAAATTTTATTTATCTGTATAGATAATAAAACTAAGAAACTTACCCAAAGGACGCATGACTTTCACCAGTGTCTGTAGAACTCTGAGCGCTTCAGCAGTGACCTTATAGAACGGATCATGAACGCTGGCCAGGACGGCGGGCATCAGAGCGGCCACGTGGGGCCGCATGGTCTCAACTGGGTGTCCACGGACAAGGCATACTATGAAAACTAAAGTTTCGATCTTCATGGACGATGAGGTACTTTTATCCCTGTGGAATATAAAAATAACGCGTTTAATTCTTAAATACTTTAAAATTGAAACATTTTTTGTTTCAACGCGACATCCATAAAATTAGTTTCAATGTATTTTTATATGATCACTAGGTGGTAGAGTTCCTTTCCAGTATAGGAGTATATATCTGGTTCATTTACTGCTTCGTTTCTGTTTGAAATGTGAGAGACATGTATAACAACCTATGAAGCATTACTTTTTAGTCCTCAGAGTTAGGTTAGCAGTGCACCTGAAGTCTTTGTTTGAATCGACAAGTATGGGCTGCAGTATCAATCAGATGAGTGTTAGTTACCCAGTGCAATGTGCATATTATGCGATTCAAACAAGAAAATTGAACTGGATCCATATTGTGACGCCATAGCTGTCAATTCAAACCAGTTAGGTAGGGTGAGCAAAACAGATATTTTTGAAATAAAATTTATTGATCACAAACGAAAAAGTATTCATCTGAATCTAACATTTCAATTTCGCTCATCTTTGCATCATTGTCTGAGTAGTCATTATTGTCATCATTATCATCACTGCTGCTTTAAATCATAAAAATAGAACATGGATTTATGTAGGTATTTAAAATATTCCACTGACTGGTATCAATATTTTAAATTAATCTATAAAATTAATTATGGGTTCAATAGATTTTGTGATAATAAGACTCAGTTAAATAAAGCGGAAAATAAGTAAAATAAAAAATGTTGTACCACCGACTTCAAAATAAATAAAATGTGAACATCATCAATGTAGTTGAAGTCAATTAAATACGCATTATTATAACAATTTTTATTTCAATAAACTGTACAATTCATTCGAACAATGTTTTAATTTCATTTAGTCTACAATAACGGACACCTGAACTAGTAAAAACCTGTATCTCAGGTGTATCTGCTAATAGATACACTAACAAATTAAGGATAACTCAAAAACCACTGGTCAGATCTTGATCTAATTTATATGGGACCACATGAGAAGCACCAGCTTTCAAATAAAAAAAAAAGAATCCCTCTCCATAGCTCGCTGAGCAACTTTGAACGTCCTCATACGGCCAACAGTGAAGGACCACGTCTCAGATCCATAAGTCATCACTGGCAACATGCACTGATTGTACAATCTCGTTTTCAGGTTTTGAGGTATACCTGATGAGAAGTTGTGTCGTAATTTCCCGAACGCTGCCCAGCCGAGTTGAATCCGTCGATTGACGTCTCGGTCTAATTTGGACTTACCTAGTCGGACTATTTGTCCCAGGTAAACAGGCTCCGTGGCGCAGTGGCTTAGCAATCAGTTGTTGCGCTGGGGGCCGCGGGTTCGAATCCCGCACGAAACAAGTATTTGTATGGCCTACAAATAATTGTTCCGGGTCTGGATGTTTGTCCTTGTGCAATTTATGTTTGTAAACTGCCTCCACGACACAGGAGAAAATCCTAGTGTGGGGGTCACGATTTTTTTAAAAAAAAAAACATACTCGTCAACAACTTCGAGCTTAGTGCTCCCAACAACTACCGGCATAGGTGTGACATGGACATTAAACAACATCTTTGTTTTGTCCACGTTCATCTTAAGACCTATCCGTTGGGAGACACCATTGAGGTCATTGAGCATAGTGCTTAGATATTCCAGCGATTCTGCCATAAGGACTATATCGTCGGCAAATCGAAGGTGAGTGATGTACTCGCCATTGATGTTGATACCGTATCCTTTCCAGTCCAGTAGCTTGAAAACGTCTTCCAATGCAGCGGTGAAGAGTTTCGGGGATATAACGTCATCCTGTCTTACACCTCTCTGTAGTTGGATAGGTTTCATACTCTGATTCTGTACTCGGATAGCCATCGTAGCCCTACTGTACAAACACTTCAGCACTTCGATATACCGACAGTCAATTTGGCACCGCTGAAGGGCCTGCAGCATTGCTCAAATTTCGAGGGAATTGAAATGGTTTCTGATAGTCCATATACGCAAGGCAAAGTGGAAGATTGTACTCTTCGGTCTTTTGTACAATTTGCCGAAGGGTATGTATGTGGTCTTTATATGTACTAAAGCCTTTTCGGAAAACGGCTTGTTCACGTAGATGCGGCTCAGAAGGGAAATCGGTCTGTAGTTCTGCAAGAGAGCTTTCTTGAAGAACAGAACCACCGCACTTGTGCTCCACGCCTCCCACCATGGAGAACGGAATTAAAGAGCTTCTGAAGGACTTCAAGTATCGGTTTTCCACCTGCTTTCAGAAGCTCCGCTGTAATTCCATCGTCGCCTGGAGCCTTGCTGTTTTACGGTGCAGGTGCCATTCTAATCTCGTTCAGAATGACGTCCGGGATATCATCGGAATAGTGTCAAATAACTCCAACGATGATTTGTATAGCCCATAGAACCTCTCAATCTCACTCAAAATCTCAGGTGTCCTGGAAACGATGCTGCTACACTCGAACTTTGACACTTGGCTCTTTCTGACAGACAGATCTCTGGCAAAGACTTTGGCGCATTAAAGTTGCGTAAGTCCTGCCGCGCGCATTTGGAGATCTGTCTGTTCAGTTGCCTGTATGCTGTCAAATCTGTTAAAGACTGCAACTTCATTTCCCGTCTAACAGCCATTAGTTTAAGTTTTTTGTGTTCTTCTGTGGCAGGTCTTGCAAAACTTAGCTCGGACCGCATGGACAGAAAACGGTTTTGTAACTAAAACTGAAAGGTTTCGGGACTTTGGAACAGAGCACGAGGGGGACGGCGTTGACTTCATTAGACGAGACCTCTCCAACTTAACGTTTAGGTTCAGTGTGCCTTTAACCATTCGGTGATCGCTACCAGTTTTCACCCTCGCGATCACTGAGACATACTGAACAATTGTCGTCTGGTCGTCATAATGAAGTCAATCTCATTTTTTGTCGAACCGTCAGGGCTCGACTAAGTCCCCTTCCTGTGAGGTCGCTTCTGGAAGAAAGAGTTCATCATAAAGAGTTCCTCTTTTTCCATGAAGTCGGCCAGCTATTTGCCCCTTGGGTTCCGTTGCTCTATCGTTACAACTTTATCGTCAGTTAGGCCAGCGTAATTTGTCTATCTATCTCTTCTTCCAGCTCCAGCTTCTTCTCGTCAGTCCTCAGGAAGCGTGCGTTGTATGTTGCCAGGTCGAGTCGTCTTAGATGGCAACCGAACCTCCACCGGAGATTCTTAGCACCCCCTACCCCGCCGTTACCGTGGTTGCCACCGCAGCCAGGAATAGGGGGGGGGGGGGCCGCCGGGGACTGGGGGCCATCTCTTCATAACTTTCATTTCATGGAGGGATATTTTCCATAGTTGCCACGTTTGGCGAGCGGGTTGGCAACCGCAGTTTTTTTATTGTAATCTTGCTGTTATTAGAAAGATGCTGCTACCCATCTCCTGCTTGTTTCCCACTGTCGCGTCTTAAGACACCCACGGGAAGATATGGGGGTAGTGGATATTCTTAACCGCCACTACACGGCTAGTCTCTTAAAGAAACGTTATTCATACGCAAATTAATTTTCTTTGCAAATCGTACTTTTGAAGTGACAGTTGACAGTTTGCGGTCATTTGAGGTCATTGACGTTCCTATACTTGTTTGAATAGCATTGTAGGTGGGCGGTGGGATGGGTGGGGCGGAGGGGCGGAGGGGCAGAGGGGCGGCTACTCACGTGAGCGCAGGCGTGAGTGCGCGTATGACGCGCGCGGCGTGGTCGGCGAGGCAGCCGGGCGCGGCGGCCAGCAGCTCGCGCAGCAGCGCCAGCGCACAGCCGCGCGCGCGCACGCTGCGCCCGCGGATCACGCGCAGCGCGCCGCGCACCACGCCCGACACCTGCATACCACGCACACTTAAAACTTTTTTTATTACATACATCGTATTACCTACAAACCCTTTAGCCAAAAATAATAGATCAAAATACATTATTCGAATATTATGAACTAGCGCCCCGGCTTCGCCTGGGTGGGATCTACTAATATAGCGTTATTTAAATTTTTTTTAAATAATCATCAACGATAATTTATATTATCAATTTTTGGATTTCACAAAAAAATTGCCCATGTTTTTCGAATAAAATCTAGATCACTTCTGGCTTTGCTTTTTATCTGATCGCGAAACATTCGTTAAACAAACATTCAAACATTGTGGTCTCTCGCTAAGGCTGTCCAAGGAAATTTCTGTAAGCCATCACTACCATCTCTGCACAGGGAAGACGACCACGCCGCAAAAGCGACAGCCGACCTTTTAGGCTCCCTTTTGGGTCCAACTCGACTCTTGATGACGGGGGGAACACACCGCCGACCATCCCGCAGTGTGAGTGCTCCATGCCGGATGCGCGGTTCTCACAGCGCTTGGTTCGCAAAGCACTTCTATCCCTGAACATTCACAAGTCGAGTGGGCCTGGCGGAATCCCCACAATTGTGCTGAAGACGTGTGCTCCGGAGTTGGCACCGGTTCTAACGCGTCTTTTCCGGTACTCCTACTCCCTAGGCGTAGTCCCGAAATCATGGAAGACAGCTTTTGTCCACCCGATACCTAAAAAAGGCGACAGGCCTGTCGCCATCACCTTGTTCCCTAAAATAATGGAATCCATCATAAACTGCCAGCTCTTGCGGTACCTTGAGGATCACCAGCTGATTAGTGACCGCCAATATAGTTTTCGTCGGGGTCGATCAGCTGTTGATCTTCTGGTCTACTTAACTCATAGATGGGCGGAGGCAGTAGAGTCAAAGGGCGACGCATTGGCCGTTAGTTTGGACATTGCGAAGGCATTCGATCGGGTTTAGCACAAAGCGCTTCTTTCGAAGTTCTCTTCCTATGGGCTTCCCGAGAAATTGTGCAATTGGATCACCAGATTTCTTGCAGATCGGAGAATCAAGGTCGTTGTAGACAGTACATGCTCCGACTACAAGCCTGTTAACGCTGGTGTTCCACAAGGCTGCGTGCTATCACCAACGCTGTTTCTTCTGCATATCAATGATATGTTGCAAACCGGTAACATTCATTGCTATGCGGATGACAGCACTGGTGATGCTCTATACACAGGCCGTGCCAATACTTCTCGGGAAAACGTCGCCGAGTACCGAGACTCGGATTGGGAGCGGCTAAATCTAGTCCAGTTTAATCTTCAGAAGACACAAGTTTGCGCGTTTACCGCTAAAAAGAACCGCTTTGTCGTATCTCCTCAGTTTCAAGGGTCTCCCCTTGCTGCCTCATCTAGCATCGGAATCCTCGGCCTCGACATATCAAATAGTGTGCAGTTTCGTGGTCACTTGGTGACATTCCCCTGGTGTTGCAGTTGTTCATGGGCGACGGTAGTAACTTACCATCAGGTGAGCCACATGCTCGTTTGCCCGCTCTTCTATAAAAAAAAATGAATCAAAATCGGTTCAGCCATTCCGGAAATGAGCCCGGAGAGACAGATAGACAAATAGATGTATAGATGTTAACTAATATCTTCACAATATATTGATTTGTCAAGTTGCGAAGTTTCTGAGAGATTTTAATCACAGTTTATGTCAGCATAATCAATGAAGACAGTATCACCAGACCCCCAAAATACATTTTTAAGTTTTTATCACCAGCAAAGCACTTGTTTTGTCGTTTCTATCAATTGTTGCCATCAATTTGTTTATCAAAATCTATTTCAAAACATTATTCGGACGATAACACATGATCACCAATTCACAATTAATGTGCGGTCAATATCCCGTCTAAAGCTCATTTTACAGAGTAGTCATAGCAACGCACCAAAGTATTTTAATTATATATGTATTATGTAACATGTTTTAGTTTTCGATTTTATTTTTTGTGATTTTCTTTTTAAATCGTATACTCTATATGTTCAAGTTGTGTAAAAGATAAATAAAACCTAATATAAATTAAATGCAATTATTTAAATAAAATTAATTTCAAATGAAAAAGAAGTTTTGTATATTAAGTCTAAATTATTTCATTTACTTAAGACTTAAGAGCGGAAAACTAAAAGGTGTGTGTGACGTGTGTGTTGCGACTCCAGCTTGCGTTCCATATTCTACACTAAAAAGCGCAGCGCAAACAAATCAAATCAATTTCAAATCTTAACGCACATCAGATGCGTGTGAGCGCCGTGCACAGCATGTGTGCGCTACGAACAATACGCTTGGACTATTAAGTATTACTTTGTTAACATTTATGTAGTGTTTAGGCACTCAGGTTTACCTAGTGTAATTCTACTGAATTTGTAATGATATATTTTTATCACTGCCATAGAATTTTAGATATACAATTGTCAACCTGTACAGTGCACGCAAAAAATATATTAACGAATGCGAGACGCCATCGGAATGAATAGAGCGTCAATTTCCGTAACTGGTCACTGGATATTTATTGGTAATATATGAAAAGATTCATATGTTTTATAAATGTGTTTTAATTTAATATATACTTTCTTACAACTTCTTACTTATAAAGTATTTTGAAAAACTTACCCTTTGTAAAAGTAAAGCCTGAGGAGAGTCATCAGATGGGGCAATGGGCATTTGTAATGCCGGCGGCGGACGAGTGGCCCTCAGGAGGGCTGTGTAAGCACTTAAAATATCGCATTTAACGTTTTCCTCGCGTTCTGATGAAGATAAAACAAAAACATATTAAGACCAGTACACTTTATAACATACAAAAATGCAAAAGAAATGATCCTACCTTTGAATCTTGCAATCAATGCAGGTGAAACAGTTTCATACATTTGTGCCAAAAGCTCATGTCTTGTTGCTATAACAGATTCTAAGCACTTGGCTGCAGCACGTCGTACCTGTTTGTATTAGGATAAAATTTCATTATCTTTTTCCAAATAGAATTACATATTACGCGAATATATTGTAATAATAAATACTAATGGTCGCCTAAATTGTACAACCATTGTGCTCGGAGTTTCTCTGCGTGATAAACTTAGAAATGAGGATATCCGCAGTATAACCAGAGTAACCGACATAGCCCAACGGATTAGTAAGCTGAAGTGGCAGTGGGCCGGCCATATAGCTCGAAGAACCGACAACCGATGGGGAAGAAAGGTTCTCGAGTGGCAGCCTCGTACCGGTAGGCGAAGTGTAGGGCGTCCCCCCACGAGATGGAGTGACGACCTGGTAAGACATGCAGGAAGTCGATGGATGCAGGTGGCTCAGGACCGTGCTTTGTGGCATTCTTTGGGGGAGGCCTATGTTCAGCAGTGGACTTGTGAAGGGCTGTAATGATGATAATGATGAATGGTCGCCTAGTGGTCGAAATGCAAGCAATACGCAACCTTATAACTACAGTAATAAAGCAGTTTCTCCTTTAGACATATTGTTGATCGCGAGTATTCTAGTACCTTTCCATTGAAAGAGTGAAATGACAATAGGACCAGCTAGGCGGGGCAGTGCCCCGAGGCTCCAAGCTCAAGGGGCCCCTCAGCCTCCATGAACGACGTTCGAAAAAGTTATACATATAATATCCTAGTAGAATAAAAAATAAATTGATTTTTAAATTTTTGCCCCTGACCAACAAACCTCGAACAGCTCGAACTGAAATTACAAAAAATTCTCCCAACTCCAGAAAAGCATCATAAACATCATTGTTGAAATAAAATTTATTGTCTAAGTACCTATATTATTAACAGTAATCTATTTTGTTCGCCTGGTATGGACCTACAGTGAAAATTATCCCACGGGATCCTTTTATCGGGATGAAACAGTGATGAAGGGAAGAAATGGCGTGCTAAATTCATCCAAATCCATACAAACAAACTTTCATATTTATAATATTGCTAGCAACCCGCCCCGGCTTCACACAGATTCAATTTAGATAAGGTGTCATTTATGTTTAAAAAAGCACTGTTACACCTATTTTCTAATAAATTTTTAATTTATTATTATATTAATTAATGTATACAATACCTATTAAAAAACTATAATAAAAAAAAACTAAGACTAATAACTTAATTATCATACAGTCCTACTCCCCGTGGTATCATGCTAAGAACTCTGGCTGCGTTTCCTCACTGAATGGCTATACTTAGCCTTTGAGCGAGAAAAGAACCAGCCGTCTTATCACCAGCAGCAACGACCAGTCGCGGACAGTTCCTTTAGGAACTTCACCGCATGTGGACCCCACGGACCGATAGTCTCTATAGCAAATAGCACAAATATGTAGTCACCTTTTATTTTTCTAATTAAAAAATATTATATCATTTTTCTCCATACAAATTTAAGAACCTTATGGCCCTCCGTAAGGTGTTGTTTTGAATCATCTCAGAAAAGTACTTTCAATATGTCTCGAGTTAATCGCCCCGTGAAATAAAAAGTTTTACAAAACTGTAACATACTATTTCCCCCTCTTACCATTACGACAACATCCTATTAAAGTACTTATTACAATACCAACTTAATACAATATTTTTTATACAAACTTTGCACCACCACTTTAATACCCTAAGGGTAGAGTTTGAAGAAAAAAATTGTGAAATTTATAATTTTTAATTTCAGAATGTATGCACTTTCAAATTTAAAAAAAAAAGTTATTTAATTTTTCTCTCAGTCATTTGTTTCATTTTTTTATAGAAAAAGGGTGACAAACGAGCACACAGTCCACCTAATTGAAATAAATTCATCCTCAATTTAGAATCAAAATGCCGATGGGTTGTCACCCCTGAGGACTAAGATGGAATGCCTCCGTTTTAGTAAAAAGGGTCTCCGGTTTTTTACACTCACCATACAAAACACGGCAACATTAAGCTGCTAATTTACGCTGGTATTCTGTGAAAGCGTCGAACTACCCCGGTCGAGCCTACCCATTCGTGCTACAACCATAATATAGTTGTAGCATGGTTCAACCGCGTAATATACAGAGTATCTTTAGTAAGTTTCAAGTCCATCGCACTGTAAAATAAAAAGTTTCATACAACTGTAACACCCAATTTCTTTGTTGACAATGGAAGTAAAATTTTCCTAAATCCTTTCTTAGTTGATGCCTATGTTATAAAAGGCAGGTACTGTCCAATTTTCAGATTTGTATTTATATATGACATTATATATATATATATATATTGGAAAGGGACTACAACATCAATCGACTTACGACATCTGCGATTATTACTGTTGTATTTGTTTACTTACTGTGTACTCTTATGCGGAAGAAAAATGAATGTACCATATCTCATCCTAATGGGCATTTTTATTCACCCTGCACGTAACAATATGTATATATATATATATATATATATATATATATATATATATATATATATATATATATATATATATATATATATATATATATATAAATATATATATATATATCTTTTTACTCTCTTCTATTTCAATAACAAATACTTACGCTCATTTTCATTTCTTTCTATTAATGATACTGTTATGTATCGGATGTAGGGACACGAGTAAAACACTTGCTAGCTGGCAATGCACTCTCTTTAATACGACACAGGTGCGCCGGGGGAGGTGATGGGTGCGGGGGCGCAACCACGCGCACATAGATAAATATGCATACATAACAGATACATTTGTTTATGTAACAACTCGTAACTCGCCCGCCTTCAAAGCAAATATTACATATGTACGCTGTAATGTCGTTTATAAAGACATACCATCTCCATCCTCAGGGGTCCCACATTTCTTCATTTTGATTCTAAATTGACAATAGATGTAGATGTCTACAAGCCATAGCACACACTTAAAATCAGGTGGACTGTGTGCTTGTTTGTCATGGATATTAGTTTTGAAGTAATAGACACAATACTCACTTTCCAAGACATGTCATCATCATCAGAGTATTCTTCAGAGTCAGATTCTGCTTCTGCATCAGGTTCAATTGATTCATCTTCCATCTCTTCATCTTCACCTCCCGCACCTTCTTCCTCATCTTCATAGTTGTAGTTCGGATCATAAGTGATCATTTTCAGACATAGATCTATAATCTAAATAACAAAAATAAAGAAAGTTAATGTTGAATATTCTTAAGCTCGGAAGAGACTGGCTAAATCTAATTAATTATAGAAAACTTGCTTACGGTTGGGATATGAGGTTGTACTTCTTTAGGGCACTTAAGAACAAATGCTTCAAGTGCTTGAAGACAATGCTCACGTAATTCCTCATCAGCATCAGTAGAATGCTCTAGAACTTGTGGAGCTACACGCCAAAGTTGTTCACCAAATCGATGACCTGCTTGACGACTGAAAAAATGTTTATATGTATACTTAAATTAGTATTCAACTAATAAAAACATTCCTAATTTATATTCTTGTATTAAGTTCATATTTAAGTAACTTTCTATATGTATTGTATATGTTTTATTTTATACAACTGAAGCGACTAGCAAACCTGCAGTCCACCGGGTGGTAAGTGGCTACTGTAGTTCATGGACACCTGCAGCCATCTTCAAACAATGAAGACTACAGATGCGTTGTCACCTGTGAGGGCTAAGATGTAATGCCTTACGACCGATTTACACTTCAACAAGTACAGAAGTGACTTTAGTTATAGGGCAGTTGACAGTTTACACAAACAGTTAAGTGGGCATTCAAATGTCTACATGGCGAGTTTAGTTAAAAACAAAGTACAATTTTATATTTTGAAGTTCGAACGGGAACACGTTGCGTCCTGTCAACTTATGCACTGAATTGAACTTGGTCGTTCACACGAGCGACGAGTTTGGTTGCGGTTGGTGGGAGACGCGCGGGAGGGCAACATTTTGAAGTTAATTCGCCGATAAATAGCTCAATCGGCTATCCCGTTCAACTTAATTGGTAATTTGCTACTTAAGGGGCTACTCCATGCGAACGACCTTGAGCATTTGACCGGCGCGCCGTTCGCTACAATATTAATACGAGTATATTGTAGCGAGCGGCTCGCCGGAAGAAATATGTAAGACGCCACCTATTGTACGAAAGTAGTATTATTTTTTCAACATCAATAAACTGTTTTATGGAAATACACATAGCGTACAAAGATAAATGTATTTTAATTTTTTTATTCTGTATATATTAGTTGCATTATATTAGAATTATGTATTTTCATATATTATCTAATTATGAAATTTTATAATTAATTATATAAACGGAAGCATTGAAAATTGTGAGTTTAAAAGATACCTATTCACTATAGGTAAATAAATAGATAACTCGGCTTTTGTACAAATATTTGGTGCAATAAAAAATATATAAATACAAAAATCAACAAGAAGTATAAGGGTTCAATCTTTCAATTTCAGTTGTAAAAAAACATTACACCCACACTAGGATTTTCTCCTGTGTCGTGGAGGCAGTTTACAAACATAAATTGCACAAAGACAAACATCCAGACCCGGAACAATTATTTGTAGGCCATACAAATCTTGTTCCATGCGGGATTCGAACCCGCGGCCCCCAGCGCAACAACTGATTGCTAAGCCACTGCGCCACCATGAAGCTAATACAAAGACTAACTTTGTATTTGCTTCATGGTCGCCGGGTTATAGCTAAAGTGACCATACGTCCCGTTTTGAACGGGACTGTCCCTTTTCTCGGTCTCCTGTCCCATTGTCCCCAAACAAAGCACCGGGACACAAAATTGTCCCGTAACTCGTTGGATGGAAGTATTCAAAGTCAACAATCTTCAACATAATTTTTTTTAATCGAATATATTTTATGTCTACCTGGTACGAATGCTCCGGTAGAAAGAGTATTTTTTTATTTTGCATAAATTGTGGACGTCTGAAAGAAACACTTACGGTTCCAGAGTTCTAAAGGCGATGTTGTTAACAAAGATAACAATAAAAAACTTGAGCAGAATTTTATTCTTATTTAAAATCATCACCAACTTTATTAAAGCAAATTTAATCCACTGACAAATGTAATTAATAATTAAAAAAAATATGTTGCATTTAATAATTACCGTCTATACCGAATATAATTTTATAGTGAACACTAATTGTATAAAGTTATAGTTTTTAGAGTATAAATAAACCCATGTCCTGTTATGAGTTAAAAAATAAATGGTCAGCTTAGTCTTTTTAGTTAAATTTAGTTTTAAAATTTTTTAGTTTATAGTAAAAAGTAGGTATATTAGTACTTTTTACCGAGATATAAGTATAGAACACCTTATGTACTCAATTATTTTTTGAAAAAGAAGAAAAAACAAGCAATAAATAATATACTATATTTTAGCAAAAAACTATAACTTAGTAATACTAATTATAACTTAGAACATAAATGAAAAACTCATAACTGACTTTTTGGCCCAACCCAGGATTCGAACCCGGGACCTCATGATCAGCAGTCGCACTACTACAACCACTAGACCAACGAGGCAGTAGTATACCTGATAAGATATTGTGGTTGGGTGATAATATTGAATTAGCCTTTTATAGTGTAAATTATAATATTTGTCGAAATTTTAATTATGGATTCGAACCTTACATGCAAATGGTGCTTCATTTTTTTATTTGCATTTACTTCAAAGAAAATACACGCAAAAATCTTCATCGCGCAGTAAAAAACACAACAAATATATGTATAACTAATACGAAAAATTATACCCAAAACAAACAAATAATACTACCTATAAATAACCTAATAAGTAATAATATTATCGACTCATATGACGTGGCGTATGCGTCGGTCGACGCTCTAACGACACGGGCTTCCCGTCGAAGAGCTCAGCGCTCACTGACTTCATCAAGCCCGTGAGCAGTATATACGCCCAGATTTTAAAATAATTTCTTAATAAAATCAAATTTTGGTCTTTTGAAAAAAATTTTACTATAGAAATGTTCATTAATAAATTGCCTATCCATTGGTGTAAATCGCAAAACAAAATAATACTTACTTTACGAGGAGATGCATGTTATCAATAATAATTTCACATTTATGTGGTTTCGTTGTAAGGAGATTATATTAATATGTATTCCTTTAAAAAAAATTGGATATAGCTTTTATGGAATCAAGATTATGTAGAAATATAATGTGTTTTTTATTTGTTGATATATCTTTTAAATAAAAAGTAGATAGCTCCTAAAAATCGCCCAAATAACGACTAGAGCGACATTTTGCTCAACCTGCGCCTTAACTCACTGGTTGCCATTCAAACGAGATTTTTTACTTAACTCGCCAGGTTCACAAGTTAACTCGCTACTGTACTTGTCGAAGTGTAAATCGTCTTTACAGCTTGTAACTTAACCGCTTCCACTCTTCAGACTGTAATACAGCATTTTTATTTGACAGCTACCCAGGCAGAACTCTAGGCAAAAAAGGATTCCAACCAACTAGTAAAAATAAACCTAGTAAAAAACATGTACATATTTTCGCTCCAATTGTGTAAAACAGTGCTTTGCGAAGTGTGGGTGACATCATATAAAGGTAGCAGTACACGTTGGCCGAACGCGCTCGCCGAGTGCGTTCAGCCAACGTGTACTGGGCCGTTTTATGTGTATTTTGGCGTTTGCGGCCAACACTCGCCGACAAGCCGTATAGTGTCGGTTTTCCGTGCACAAATCAAAGAAATTTGGCGCAAGCCGCAAATAGCGATCACACGTTGGCCGAGTGTTCAGTTCATAGCTACGCTTTACCGCTTAATAAAATTATTTCACGAACATGGCGACATGGCCTAATAATGAAATATTTAGGTTCGTTGATTTTTATCACAATGAATCAGTTATATGGAAACCCAAACATGAGCAACATAAAAATAAGGCCGCAATCACTAACGTCCATCTTCATATAGCTACCAACGCAGAATGAAGCACGCCAACGTGTGAACGGCACCACAAAAAACGCCAAGCGCGTTCGACCAACGTATACTGGAGCCTTTAGATGTCACCCACACTTTGCACTGTGACCTGGCGACGTAATGATGGCAGAACATACATGTGATAAAAAAATTATATTAGCATTTGGCACCAATGTACATTAATGGATTAAAAAGCTTAGTTATGATTTAAGAATAAGAAATTCCCAACTCAAATCATTAAACAATTTAAAAAAAAAATGTTGGTTATCCTTGTGGAAACTGTCAATCTTACACCAAATCAAAAGTATTCCAAAAAAAGTGCTAAAAGTAAACAGAATTTTTACAGCCTGATAATTAAAAACTGCCTCATTAGTAATTTAATTTTCCTAAATTATAAATATCACTTGCAGGTTTCTGACTTCTTTTTAAGATAATCTGTTGCCACCTATGTCATAAGTCAACCCAGAAGCGAATTGCATCAATTGCCACACATTCACAAAGTAATTTCACAGACAATATTATATTATAAAATGGTATTTATAATAGGTGCAAACAATATCTCATACTTGGCGAGACAACTTTCTGCTAATTATGAAAAATAAATGCTTAGCCTATTTAGCACATACAAGAACACAAGTAGTTTTTAAAAACATCTACTACAGATACTCATCCACAGGAGGTTAACTCATTGCTACTGAAAAGGCAATCATTATAAAAGTAATTCTTCTTTTCTTACCATACGGATGCAATACATTGTATGTGAGTGCGGCTGACACTAGCTGATGTTGAAGAACTCAGGCCTTCCAGCAAATGATCAATAAGTTTACTATAAAGTGAGGCATTACATGACATCACCAAATGTGACAAAGCCACTATTGTGCGCTTGCGGACAGCCTGTAAGTGCATATAAGTATAAATAAACATACTGAAATTATAACAAGACTATTATGTATTAGCCAACTGATTTATAAATTACAAATCAACTAATTTAAATATATTTTATGTTCAAAAAAATTGATTGATAGGAAAGTTAGTAAACTATTTGAACAACAAAAAACAGAGCCTGCATTTTTCCTTAATAAATTTGAATACTTGTATAGTGTAGTGGCAGTAAGAATATCCACTACCCTATATCATCTACTACCCCATGGTTGTTGTAAGTGGAGACAAGAGGGAAATTGAAGCAGGAGAAGGACAGCAACTTCTTCCTGACAACAACTTGATAAATTTTAAAACTGTAGTTGCCAACTCGCCTGCCAAGTGTGAAAAATATTCCCTCTATGGGACCATCCATCTATAACAATCCACCAAAAGTCTACTGTTGTACATAGGCTTTCCTCATAGCTTATCTCATAGGGGAGATTATACCTTCGTTGCTATGCTTGGCAGGGAAGTTGAAAACTGCATTTTTTTTAATATTTAGAGTTGTTATCAGTAAGACGCTGCTGCCTATATGTTACAATTTCACTCTGTCTCCTGTTACCGATATGGTACAGATTTGCAGATTGTCTTACTGACACAAACAGTGAAAAAAAGTTTATATAAAACTGTAACAAGTGAATATTCTATTTTACTTGTATATATAGATAACTATTTACACCAAACAATTTTATTAGACTTGCAACAAATATTATGTTCTGCCACCAAATAGCCAAATACCGAATAGTCTGCATAGCTGAAATTAGGCAAAAGTATTTGACCGGAAAGGAAGTAGTGTCTTTTTTCTGAAGCTAGGATTGTTTACGAGAAGAAAAGGTTTAGACTACTGCCTGAAAATTCAGAAAAATAATATTTTTTTTTATAGAATAAAAGTGACAAATGAGCACACAGTCCACCTGATGGTAAGTGGTTGCTGTGGCCCATAGACATCTATATCTATCTTCGTTTATGAACTAAAATGCAGATGCGTTGTCAGCCTTGAGGACTAAGATAGAATACCTCTTTTCCAGTAAAAAGGGTCTTCGGTTCTCTATACTCACCATACACAATACAGCAGCATTAAGCTATTTTACACTGGTATTCTGTGACAGTGTGGTCTTTCCCCAGTCGAGCCAAACCATTCGTGCTACAACTATACTATTAATATAGCTGCAGTATGGCTCTACCATGTATAATTACAATATTTCAAGGGCATAGACATTTGTCAGATAGATTTTTGTTAATTTTTATTACATGGAAGTTGATTATGTACCTATGACTACTTTAATGATTACAAGAAAAATACACTAAGTATTATAAAATAAATCAATATTTTCATTTTACCAATTGACTGACTACAACAAAACTTCTAACTTAAGTATTCGGTATTCGGCTCAATAGTAGTTAAATACCTTGGTATTCAAACAAATAGGACAAAAGTAACTGACTAGGCTGAACACCAAATAATAGCTAAATATTAGTTGCAAGTCTAAATTTCATATTACACAACAACAAAGTGATTACCTGACGTGGTGATGAAAGTTGTGGTAGTAAAGAATTTAATAGCATTGGATGGAAAGATATCAATAGACCTCCAAATCTGCTTAGTAAATCTGCCAATATATCTAGTGCTTCCAATTGCACAGATACATCTTCTTGCTGAATGAAAAAATAAAAACACTATATAAAATAGAATAAAAACAACAACCAATTTACTTGACTTAAACAACATCATCTTTATCATTATAGCCTATCAAAAGTTCACTGTTGAATATAGACCTCCCCCATAGATTGCCTAATAGAGCTGATTTATTTATTTATTCTTTATTGCACTAAATATTTGTATAAAAGGCGAGCTTAATGCTATATGGCATTCTCTACCAGCTAACCTTAAGTAGAACAGAGAGTGAGTTTGGGCAGTTAAGTTGTCATGATATAATTCAGTTCATATAATTACATGCAACACATACATAAAATATACACATATATATAAAATATATATAATTCATGTACATATATAAATAAATACACACATTTATACATATATAACTCAATATATGTATGTATATATATCTATACAAATAAATAAAATTGAAGTGTCTGTTTGTAATATCAAAATTACAGTTTTTTACTAAATGCATATGAAAGTAAATACGATACCTATAACTAAAATACAATTTTTAAAATTTTTGTCTGTCTGTCTGTCTGTTTGTTCCGGGTAATCTCCGAAACGGCTGGACCGATTTTGACAGGACTTTCACTGGCAGATAGCTGATTTCATAAGGAGTAACATAGGCTACTTTTATTTTAGAAAAAGAATCAGGGTTCCGCGCAGAAACATAAAAACCCTAACACGCGAACGAAGTCGCGGGGAACAGCTAGTATATATATAAATAACTATAAATATATATAATTTAAAATTAAAAATTTTGTATAGCCGACTTCAATACGAGTTACAAATAACTCAAAAACTGTTGATCTGACTTTGATCAAATTCATATGGGACCACAAGTACCAGCTTTCAAATAAAAAAGAATCATCCAAATCGGTTCACCCAGTAAAAAGTTCTAGTTCTGAGGTAACACACATAAAAGAAAACATACAATCGAATTGAGTACTGTCTCCTTTTTAGAAGTCGGCAGAAAATAAGTTGACTCAACTTTGTAGGCTACAGATATGCTCATATAGTTTTTTTTTAAGCTGATATGGGCGTTTCTCTGTAAACTGGGCATCTCGTTGGCTCAGGCCAATATTATATAAATACAAACAGTTTACTATATATTTTGTAGCTAACTTTAAAAGATAATAGCCTAATCTTACTCTGCTTAGCATGTAATATTTATTATATTAAATTTTATTGTATCAAAAACGTTTTTATAGCCCACAAAAAACAGTCCCCTGACATCTCACCATAGCAGTATAGTCATCTCAGATCAAATTAATTAAGGCAATAACTGTAAGAATCAATCAAATCATTTGATTATTCAAACAATAATGTATATGTGTTAATGGGACATGCTTATTTTTTTATAAATATTATTTTATAAAACTAATAAAGTGAATCAAAGTTTGTCTCCACATTTTGTGAACAGTTCCCCTTTCTATATTTTAAATTACGCGTCACGTAATCTAAAGGTTAAATAATTGTATTGCTGCGTGTAATAAAACGCAAATGATCTGAAGTTTGCACGGGTATCGCTATTACCGTTCGGAAAAGTTTTTTTTTAGTGCTGCACGAACATCACTCCATGGAACTCACGTCTTAACCTGACAGCCGATAGTCCTCTGGTAAGAATTATTTTTATTTATTCTTAATGTACTATATTTAAACCTTAGAAACTCTATATTGTTTAATTGATAAATATTCCCTGTGTACAGAAAAATAACGTCATTCAATTACATTTTGTGCTACCTTTCAATTAAATCAAATTAAACAGTCCCCTTCCCCTCAATAGGACAGTGGATTGTTTTCGCCTCCAGGGGACTGTCTTTATATTATCTTTGTAATTTTTTCAGGTACACATGTGTTTTAAGTACAGCACCAAAGAAGAAATAACTCTAAGGAGGATATCTTACACAGAAAATAAGAAACCGAGCGAAGGAGTTATGAAGGTATTAAAAACGACCCGTAGAAAAGGGAAGATCGTAAGAAGTAAGTAGAAAATGGAACTAGGAAACTTATTAAAAATATGACTCCATCAGAATACCTGGAAGCAAAGAAGAAGTAAAGAGAGCATTGCACCAAGTATCGCAATAAGAAAGACGTATTACAAGCATGTGTATGAGACAAAATACTCTAGATTCTGTAGTATCTAATTCATCTCAAATGTCAACACCTAAAGTTGCTGAAATTATTTGAAAAAGATAAATTTTAAGATATAAAATAAAGAAGAAAAAAGATGAAAAAATTAGTCCTTAAAAATTAAAGTATTGATTGTTGGCAAACATAAGTTAAAAAGTATTGTAGTAATACTTTTTAACTTATATTTGCCAAAAATCTTTTCTGAAACTATTTTTGCTAAAAGTCTTTTTTCTTTGAGTATCTGCCATTTTCTGCAACTTAGTGTTCGGTATATTTTTAGGCTATGTATTTGCTTTCATACATGCTTGATTTGTCACTCGACTCATACGAGAAATTCCAACAACGGAAGAGCAATTTCAAACTCAGTTATCAAGCCTTTTGTAGACTGCAACCTTTTTGGATTATCATGCCCTAAATTGATAAGTGCGATACTTGTTTGTGCATTAACCACACAAATATATACATTTGAAATTATTAGCTTCAGAAAAGTAATAAGTATAAGCCAAATCTAATTGTGGAAGATATGTTCACTGATTAGGAATCTGATAATGAAGCTGGACCTAGTTCTGCTACAGTAAAAGCATTAAACACATATTACATCCTCAACAAATTGCTTGCCAGAAACATGGAATGTTTCACACATGTGAGCATTGTGGCGGCGCTGTCGTCGCGCCACAAGCGAAACACATCGAAGCCTAAATCGCGCTATCAAAGTTCCGAAATTAAAGCAGCATATATAGAATAGCTCCGAACTACCAATTGGAGCGTTGGCCGCTCCCCGGGCAGAACACCTTGCCTTTCGGGAGATCTCCCCTTTTCCTTCCACCCGCCACAAGCATTATTGACAAGATTGATGAAGAAAATGGCAAAATTCGTGTAATAATCCTAAAGCTCTGTGGTAATTTAGACCATACATTCAGATTTGAACAAGACAATGTGACAGATGTTACAATGGACCAGGTGATACAGAAACTACCTATTCCAAAAAAAAAATAACAGTAGAATTTTTAAAAAGACAATAAAATTTCCTACAAATTTTATTCACCTGCAAATGTTTTTGAAAAACAGTAAGACCAAATTCTTTATACTATTTTTCTTTAGCAATTTGTGCCATATTTAAGTTATAAATAATTATCTTTAATTATATGAGACTAATTGTAAAGTGTAAGATTTATAGCATTTAAATGTATGTGATTTTAATTAATTACTTATTAAGATTTCAGAGTTAGAATTTGAGTATGAGTAGAATATTATAAAAAGAGGAGAACGACTAAAAGAAGAGTAGATTTTTAGTTTCTTTATTGTTTACATACTTAATTCCTAAGCTCCAAATTTTTTAGAAAATAAAAAGATTTAATTTTGGAACTGACATGTTGTGTTATTTTTCATTGAAATACACAGTCCCCTGACATAAACAACAGTCCCCTGTATCTATTTTTTAGAAAATTCTCAATATATTCTAAAGTAATGGAAATATTTTTGGTTCATCTGCCATTTATTATTAAATTGGTGGACATATGTCCCCTGAATAAGATTTTTTTAAATATATAAGTAACAAAGTTGCCTAGACAACTCTCTTAGAACAAGTTGCCCAGTTTACAGAGAAATACCCATATATTAAACTTAAGTAATATTAAAAAAGAAAAAGAAACTAAAACTTAAAACTTAGAAACACATATCAATGATATTTTTTTATACTGCACTGCTTACCTTTTCAATAGCACTGCTGAGTTTTCCAGTAATTTTTTTACAGACATTAGCAGCTAGTGTATTTGAGCCCAGTGGAAGTTCAGATATCACAGTTTTTAAGCCAATGCTGCTTATATCTCTTAACTGTTCAGTGTCTGACAGCATATTTGCACAAAGAGTTTCCACGATTCCCTCTACTTGGAACTCCTTTACTTTGTTAACGAGAGGTCCAAGACTGTAAAAACAAAAATGTCAAAAACCAATGAAACTGCTTTATTGTGCACAAATTTGGAACTAATCTTTGAAATTACCATTTTACGGCTAGATTTTGAACTTCTCCATTTTTGTCTTCAAGTAAACGAAGCAACATTTTTACAACTTTTCTTTCAGAGTCATCGTCGAGCTTTATACTATCTTTCTGAAGTTCTGTCATCAAATCATTTGTAGCCATAAACCTGAAGTCTTTGTCGTTAGACGTCATCTAACAAAGGCAATATTAGTATTTAGTTTCAAAGATAAAAAGCAGCAGATTCATATAACCAAAGTAATGAACAGCCGGTTACCTTCTCAAGCAGATTTGCTATTTGATAGGATACACTGGCCATTTTGACTGTATTCAGTTTTCAAATTATTATTTCAACTTAACAAATACAAGACTGATCAAATAATTATTCTATAGATAAGAACAGCAAACAAGAACCATTTGGATAAATTCTAAAAACCAACTTATAAGCCAGAACGAAATAATCGAAAATGCTATTGCAATCAAATCTGACTGATCCGCTCAACTCAACCATAGATAAATAAATATGTAGAACTCAACTCAAAAAGTCAAAAAGTTGCTATCGTACAAACCTGAGCTGTTTTTTTTTATAATTGGCTTTACAGCTCTGGGTTCTAGTCTTTCTGAACCTGAACTTACAATATATAATTATCCTTCATTATAGAGATATATACCTATGGAGAGGGCATATTCCACTATAGAAATAATAGTAATACAAATATCTATAATATCGACACACACTTGTCACAAAAAGTTTTGTCTCTTTTTAACAAAGCTATCGCTGCAATAGAAAATAGATACATCTACGGTTTGTAAAGTGCTTATTTTGGTAATACTTTCGTGTGACGTCATTAGCCATCCATGCGTGACTGCGCCGCCATGTCAAGTGCAAAGTTTTGAGTATGGAGTGTAGAGTAGAAGGAGAACCATCTCTGTATATGAAAAGTGTCCCTAAAAACGCGTCCAATAAGGGTGGCGCTGTAGTAGCCTAGGATAAATTTAAAAAAAGCGCCAAAATTTATTAGAATAAGATGGAGAAATAAACAAGGACCGACCAATCTGCTTGGTTTTGTACTACGTAAATAGTTGAGGTTTTGTATACTGGCATTTTACTAACTACTCTAGTCATGAAATTTTTTAAATATTTTAATTCAGCTGACTTCACTCCGTCAACAACAGCTATATTCATATCGTAGTTTTTCAGACGCCAGCGCTATTGTGGTAGGTTTTGGAACCTCTATTTTCAGTAAATATTGGGACACTTTTTCAACTTTCGCACCTTATAAGATGGTTCTCCTTCTACTCTACACTCCATAGTTTTGAGGTAGGTCTGCTGTCAAACTGTCAAAAAAGCAGTGAAATAGTGTCGTACACTCTTATCTATGGCTATAGAAATTATTTTAATAAATTAATTTTGTTCAGAAATGAATATATAATAATAATAATAGTTTATAAATCTTGGATATGATATTTCATCCACCGTCTCATGATCATGCCAGATTTTCGAATTTTAAATGAACAAAATTAATGTACCTGCGAAACTAATTATATTTTTCATTTAAAATCTGAATAAAAAAATTAAATATGCTATCCGGCAGGATCGAACATGCTTATATAACTTACCATTTGTGATAAATTATGTGCAAAACGTTTCTATATACCAATTAATAATAAATAAGGATTGATTTTAAAAACAGTTTATTTAATTTTTACTCAACTAATCATTATATTTTATATTAAAAATACTATAATATAGGATTACAATATGGAATCAAGGATCTCCACCCCATCTCCATACATTTGTTTACGGTGCAATTGTATAGTAAACAAAGGTATTTGGTATAAAAGCAAAAATATTCATTTTCCCACTACTCTGTCAATATTCATTTTTATTATGTGCGTTATAACTTTTTAACTTTGTTCACATTGATATAAAACAAAACGTGTGTGTGTGTACTTATGTACGCACGTAAGAAGTTATACTTCTTTAGCGTAACAAAAAAATGACTAAAATAAAATACGTTTTATACATTCATACATATTTGAATAACTACCTCGAATATAGTTATCAGTTCTCATGAAAACTCAACAATTGACAGACAATTACCAATTGAAGTTGTAAAAAATTCATTCTCATCATTTTTCTCAAATGGGCCAAAAGAAGTATAACTTCAAAACTTGAGTAAGCACTTAGCACAATCAAAACATTGTTTAAAACAAGTTGCAAGTTAGCTAACACAAAAAAAAATCTGTAGCAGTGTGCATTGCGTAAGTGCACATATGCGGGTAAGCCTTGTGAAGCAACTCAAGTGAAATTTAAGGGATAGCAATCCAAAACTAATTTAACAACCTAACAATATTCATTGCTTCATGTGATTGAAAAATTCGTTTGCTCGACAACAAAAAACGCAATGGATGTTGTTAAACTGTCAAATTGATATGGTTTGCCATTTTAGGTGTGTTACGCAACTAGGCTATGGATTTAATTTCTATAATTATATGAAATAAGAACAAACTCATATTAGTAAAAATATCGATATCAGGTGCCCATATTGCTGAGTCACAACCCTATAAAAGGCGGCCATTTTATGCGCCAGATGTGTTTAGGTAGTCACGCTAATTCTGTAGGTATGCCCAGTCCATATACTTCTAAGTCAGTGTCCTTCATAGTACACTGCTTCACAATATGTTGATGCATCACATTGTGCAGCCCAAGTGCAGTCCTTGGGAGATTTTGACGGTAACTCACGCCAGCAGACAGCTGGCGATGGTACCTCAAGGCGCCTAAGCAGAAAGACACCTTATCTTGAGAATTACATCACCATCAGAGCAGTTGTTTCAACGTTTCCACTAATAGTTCACATGCGCAGGCACTTAATACACACAATCGCACCACTTTTACATATCAAAATCCACTTCAAACCATTATTTAGGCAATAATACAGGAGCAGCAAACCACCGCTGGTCAAGTTCCCGCCAAAACTCCCCAAATCTGAGCTGCCGCTACCGTATACAAAGAGTATAGTAACTGTCCTATACAGGGCTGTATGTCACTAAACGTATATATATATATAGTGATTATATTCTCTTTGTATGTCACAGTCGGGTTTGCCGTATTTTAAGGGAAAAAAAACTAAATTGCCGTATTCTCCTCCGTAAAAAGTTCTTTTTTATGTTAGTTGTTTGTCACGTGTGGTCGCAAAGTTGAAAGTTTACACAATAATGTAACGTCGAACACTGTGTACTTTGCTTTATACGGAATACGGATTATCATCCACAAGAGCAATCCAGTTTTAAATAAACACCCACTCTGTTCCCCTTTTTTGTCTTTTTGGTGAACTAGGGCCTTCAGGGTCACTTTCATTCGATATTATATATTATATTATCGACTATTAGTTGGGTACACACAATTAAACACAGAATATGGAATTATTTCACTCACAACTGTAACGTATTTTGATGTTAAATTACAAATGAGCGCTAGGTCGAACTCGACTCGTAGGTGAAACAATTGTAATTTACGTTAATAGAAGTCAGCTAGAACGCGAAAGAGATGGTACAATACGGCGTTACAACTATCGGGATTTCATTACAATTTAAAAAAAAAAGTTTCGTTTCATCTTGGTCAATTGCCGTATTTTTTGATATGGCAGTGAAAGGCCTGCCGTATGCGGTATTTTCTGAAAACAAAAATCGTGAATTGCCGTATCAATAGCAACACTGATCTCAAATTCCAAGCCATTATTTCTTTGCTCAAGGCTAAAGTGGATTCACAGAGTACAGACGAGGGTACATAGCATATAATTAGTATCTTATTATCTTATGTGTAAATACTCAAACGCTACTCAATTTTAAGATGCCATTAAGACTCGTGCTGTCTCTATCACCTTAAGTCAAAGTGACTGTGACACCACGAGAAATAACGACATATTATTTATTATTCATATTCATTGCGCCGTAGCTGTCCGTGTCAGTCGGACGCGAACAAACTGTAATAATCATTTAATATATTTTTTGCAACGCTTATCACTCAAATATAAACTTTAAATTCTCGAAAACAAGATTGTATTCAGTGTACGCAAGACTTGCTGCCGGATCCCGCCTCATAACAAGTGAGTTGTCTTATTCATACACCTGTGCCACTGTACTACGCATCCTACTTACGCATACCGTGTTATCGTGCGCACTTGCACAGAGTAGTAACGAGCTTAGACCACACAGCCATGTATCGCTCACCAACAAAACGCTACGATAGTGATCCAGATCTACAAGAAATGAGAGTAACGCTTCGAAGGCGTAAATACGATGAGGATGTATCGGATGCTTTTAGGGTATTCACAGAGTCCATATTATCAAAACTGGACACTATAAAAATTGACTTTGATGATAAAATATCGCATATCAATGACAGCATAAACACCGTCATGAAACAAGATATATCAAAACTCAATGACACCATCATGGAGCTGAAATCAGATATTAACTGTATTCGAGAGGATTACCGCAAGATAAACATAAATATTCAAGATTTACATAAAAAACAAGCTACTCTGGAAAAGGAGATGATATCTCTTAAGGAATTGACACAATTTTCATCGGATGAGCATGACACTATAAAAAGTATACAGACACTATCCAGCACAAACAAAAATGTTGAAGAAATGCGCCGTGAAATTATTGAATTGAAAAAGCAGAACACTGAACTTAGAACAGATATCAACTACAAAGAACAAATGGAGCGTCTTTTGAATTTAGAAATAGTTGGTCTCCCTGAGGATAAATGCGAGAACCTAACAAATATAATCATAGCCTTGGGGAACCAATTTGGAGTCCCGTTGCAGCATAACGATATTATTCATGCAAACAGAGTAACACCAAAAACAAAAATCCAAGGCAGACCCAGAGTCATAGTGGCAAAATTAAGTTCAAGATTGCTGAAAGACAATCTGATATCCGCATCGCGCAAACGCCGCATTACCACAACTGATATCAACCTAAAAGGCAATTGTAGACCTATTTATATAAACGAACACCTGACTGTGTAAAATAAACAACTTTTAAAGAAAACTAAGGAAATTGCTAAAAAACGCGAATTCCTCTACGCCTGGACAAGAAACGGAAGAATTTTTGTTCGTAAAGCAGATACATCACCCCCAATACTAATAGCCACAGAAAAGGATCTAAGGAAGATTGTGTGAAGATTAGCGTTCAAATAATATTTAGTGCTCTCATTTTAATTTTCATACGCAGTTTTTTTAAATTTAAACAACATATTTTTTTATATTCTTATTACTAGTAACCTTAAGTTTTTTATATGTGAAT